TTGAGTGCTTCGAACTCTGTTCCCCTCCACTGTGAGGAGTTGTTGATTTGTCCCATCTCTGCCCCACGAGAATGGTTGTGGGTGAAGTGAGGGCTCAGTATCACCACGCCACCACTGTGGTAAGGTCAATTGGGGAGGTGTTCGAGCAACTCACTGCACTGGTGGGCTGCAAGGACCAGAGAAGGGTGCTGTGTGATTATTGTTTCGCGTGTGCTACAGCAGTTGACACGCACACACACGGACACACGGACACGCGTCGGTTGAATGGGAGGTCAGATGTGGCACAGGCCTGAGTCACTTGGGTGGGAGGTGGAGGTATGAGTGTGAAGGAAGCGTCGAGACCAATCCGCATCTACGTGACGCACCTGCGCATTTGTCACTGTTTCAGTACCTGCACGCCATGTTTGTTAAAAATTTTAGCGCCTTTTGCGTTACAGAGTCCCGACAGAAATTGGATTGTCTTTTCATCTTTTTGCAACATCGCTATCAGTCGAACCACAGATAACAAGATCCAAAGCCTTCATTCTCAAAACAGTCTTTGTGGAGGTGGATACAACTGTGAGATCGCAAGAATTGATAAAGTGCAAAGTCAAGATAAATGCCTTTCAGAATCCGGTGGCCTTCGTGCGCATGTCAGAGCCATGGCTGGTGGACGCGTCGATTCGTGTGGATAGTTTACCTTTGCAATTTTTTCAGTGAAACTCGTGAAACAAAGAGAACGGTGATCGTCAAACGATTGTGAAGGAAACAGCTCACAATATACTTCAAAAAAACCTTTCCCCTGCATCCCTTTTTTTTTTATTCTGCTCGATCCCTTTAATTTAAGTGTGACGCTAAGGGCCAACATGAGGACTGCAAAATGAATTTACCTTCAACTGCTTGTTTCACCAAATAATGAATGCGTTCTACTCCTTTCAATGGGAATCGTGAATGCAGTAGAATACTAAGCTTTGCATGGGGAAACGGTGACCCAACTTGACTTTGAGATCGTAACAGCTAACTTATTAATGGTTTTGTCCTACTTACTCCGTCTTCCTTAACCCTAGAACGCTCAATACAGGAGGTTTTTAGGCATCATCGAATGTACAACAGTTAAGGAAAGCTCCTCTATCTGCATGATTTGATTTGACTCCTCAAGGGTCATGCAAAGGGTTCTTATCAAACATTTCTGATTCTCAGTATGTATTAGGTGTCTCCATCATATAAAATTCCTAATTTGTGTGAAGTGGCTCGTAGAAATAATTTTTGCTTATTTGGAGGGTTCTTTTCAGCTTTCATACATTAAACACTGTAGAGAAGGGCACAGCTTCTGTCGAAGCATTTGGTGACATTTGGAGAAGACATCTTCCCATATTCGGAGCAGTTGGCCACTGGAGTGGAGAGACGGCAGTCGGTACGTTTTGGCTGTTGGAAATGGTTAAATACAAGTGTGGACCGCAGAGGATATTTTTCTCCAATCAATTGCTCGAATAGTCAGTTTCGAGCTTGACGCATTTGACGTGATTGACCCCACTTTGGAGATTTAGATCGTAAAAACGATTGGCTGTCAGACCACCCGAAACCAAACGCTCCAAGTATGTTTAGTGTAGTCTATAGTGTTGCTTCGTACTTACTTCACATAAACTTTGTGTCCATTTCTACATAAATTATTTATCAAAATGTACTTCATGGCACTGTGTGTGGAAATGCATCGCCAACAAAATTGCAGCTGTGAACAGTCAAGATCTAACCACAATTAAAGATTTAATGTTTGTGAGAAATCGAAGCTTCCAAAATTCTACCCACCAGTATTACGAACTTTTACAAGCAAAGAGGCGAGAGCTACAAAAAGATTGTTAAAAAAGTACGCAGTGCAAAAAAAAACGCCATTTTCGAGGTGGTTCGACGTTGCCGTTTGGAGCCTTTTAACAAGCGGTTTCTGTGCATTTTAGAGAATGTGGAGGAATTAACCGGTTTTGTAGAGCTCTCGAATATTTGCACCTCCCTAACTGCGAAGAGTCCCAGACTTACTCCAAACATCACTAAGAGGTAATTGTCGAAAGTTAACAACCCACGATCCACAAACGCATTCCACCCTCCCTGCAACAACCGCTGCGATTGTTGCGGCTCCGAGAGATGCCAAAATGAGTGTAAATCAGGACGTTAGTAAGTCTGTACTACTCGTTTATAAACAAATAAATTCAACTTATTATAGTATTTGACAAAAATGCGAGTTTATTAATCATTCCATTTTAGGCTAGAGACAAACTGTCACAGCAACTTTGTTTAGAAATTCGCCTCCGCGCGCAGTTTGTCTTTATTTTTTGCTTGAAAAAGCTTCGAAGCGTGGTTGAAAGTCCAGGATGACCAGTCTTAGCCTTACTCACCACCTACAGTCACATGGGGGAGTTTTTTTGTCCAGAGAGCGCAGCCATCGCTGCCTGAGGGACCTGCAACCATCCGTTGTTCCGTGCTGCTGGAGTGACCTTGAGAGCACGAGTCTGCGATTGGCCAGTTCGGCTCTCATTTTCACCCATTTAAGGACACCTTTGCAGCATCTACACAACAATTTTTTGTTCGTATTTAATTTGTTTACCCTTTATCATCAAAATTTGACTAATTATCACCAAAGTAAGCTTGCTCCATTTAATAAGTGTTGCTTAACTGATGACGTTAATTGGTTGTCGGAAAAGAAACGTATTTTTGTCGAACAAATGCAAAATTTGTATTGTTAAGTCCCGTAAACAACTTGACTTTTACTCGATTGGTAGAGCGGTACGAATGGAACGAAAGCGAAGTATTCGTTAAGTGGGTCAACAGTAGCACCCAGAACACCCAATATCGGGACTAAAGATGTGGTGCCTACGCCGGAAGGGGCTAGAGGGTGCCACTGGTTGATCTCGTGGTAATGGAACACGAGGACCTTAGGGAAGCTGCGAAATCAAAATAGGGCGTATTAGAAAAGCTGTAATCTAAATATGTTTCGTTACGGAAAAAGGGTTTTGCTTATTGACCCGGATGGCTAGAACTTTTGTGATTTCTGGGCACCAATGCGTGGAATTTTAAGGTCCACCATATTCATATGTGGAATGCACTTAACTAAAAGTATTTTCTGGATGCCATTCAAAGGGCATTCGGTGAGGCATCTGTTGCTGACGCCTTCCCACAAATGCGGATATTGTACGGGGCTGTTGGTGTACTGTGTCTTCTAAAAGTCCCAAAATGACTTTCTTTCGGAAGGGTCCGTTTTAGTAAGTTGAGGTGGGGCCCCTCCGACGAATGACGGAGGAGACTGTGTGCACGAAATCCACTGCCATGGGTTGGGAGAGGATCAGCTAAAGTACTTGAAGCCACAAGCCCACAAAGCATTACATAATCGCTGAACAGCAAGAAGTAATTATAAAGCGAAGGCATTAAAAGTGTAAGCGGCTGTTCTTAAACTCCAAGAAAGTGCATTATCAGAACTTCATTAATGGTTGACAAGTCCTTTGCTATTCACCGTCAATTATTCAACATTTCAGAAACGAAAGGCAGGATTCAGGCTGCGGAACTAGTTGACAGAAGCGCACTTCCTTACTTATTTAGCCTTTCAGACTAAGGTGCCATTCCTAGTTAAGGCTGTGGCCAATGCAGACTTCTCCTGGAGTAGGCAGCCATCAAGGAGATTACGAGGTGAAAACGGTGAATGCTGGACTTGTCGAGAGAGGTAAAAGCTCTGCCCCAAGCAATTTTATTGTACACGATTCAGCAGGAGGAGGATTATGGGAGACGGGTGCCTGGAGAGCATTGAATTATTTAGTAGAGTAAGTGGACAATGTTGGTGTACCGATGGGACAACAAAGCCACGAATTTTCAATGTAGTCAAAGGAGGAGGAATTCCTCTTAAGCAGTCAATTGGTACTTGAGGTGAAAAAGGGCTTCAGTGCAGTAATAAATAGATTAAAACAAGTTTGCAGCCCTGCCTTCTTTTGGCATGAATGCAAATTCTTCGGGAGCTGAATAAAAGGAATATTTAGACGAACAAAAGGAAAGAGATTGCAGGAGACGAGTGAAGCTTGTGCAAAAGACGTCCATTGGAAGCCCTTCCTACTTGACAAAGCGTCCTCTTAATATCGGATTGAACACTGCCTTTGGTGCAATTACATGTGAATCAAATTTAAACCTGACCTCGCCTCACTGTGGTGGTCGTCGATTCTTAAGGCGTGCTATGCGCTTTCGTGATCAGTGCGGAGAAGTATCAGCAGCATATCCATTCTCAGTTAGCATATTGACGAGGCCCGCAATTGCCATGGCGGCGAATCGCAAGACGTGCGTTTGGTCACGGGAAAGGCTTGTCGGCTTGGTGGGCTGAATCACCGTGGCCCAAAACTGCCTAACAGACGGTTCCAATGGGGGCAAAAGGTGTTCGAGTGACCAGCGAATCGCGGTTCAATGAGTCATGCCGTTTGGGCAAATGACTGGAATAGTAGTGATGGCCTGAATTCCACTTTGGAGAGTGTCCAATTGTGAATAAAATTCTAGCCTCCTTTATACCTTCAAAAAAATCACTGCTTCATAACTAATCACGACACGATTGCGGTGTCTAAGGCGGCAAGCAAAACGATTGGGAAGAGGCATCCACCCAAAAAAGCAGCCAATCTGCGTATAAAATGAATTTGTATTAAAGATTTAGCTCCAGAAATTATGTGATTAACTGCAAAAAATGTTGCAGTCAATCAAGCCTTGAATAATTTCTAAATGATGGCGTTTAGACTCATTTTGTTGCTCTTCATTTTTCTCACCTCGCAACTTGTTGCGCAGGTGGTGGCAGTTATGGCGGATAGCCTGAGTTGTCAAAGTGGGTGGGAGAAGAGGTGACATCCACTTCCATGTGCAGGGACTTACAAGAGTGCAACGTCGATATCATTAATTTAGAGGCGCTAAATTTTTAAACCAACTTGCCAGCAAATCCGCCATGCTTTTGCTTTTTGCCCCGATATCATCTGGGTTGCAGTAAATGAGAAGATTTTGATGCGAAGTCAATGATGGATGCACTTATTGCCTCAAGCGAAAGAAGAGGCCGTGGGAACATTGATGTCATGAATTCCGGTGGGAACAAATGCCTGATCGTTAACGCTGCTGCCTTCACTCAGCCTTTGGTTCGTCGTCAACGGTGCTACGTAGGTTGGTGTGGTGGCGCTGGTGTGCTGGAACGAGTCTCGCTCTTTTCACATCTTCTAAGCCTCAAGGAAGAATTTTCAGCGATGAGCTTAAGAGTGAACCCCGTTGTTGCGCAAAGAGCCTGGTAGCCAAAAAAGCATCCATTGTGGTTTATTTTGCCTCCAGCGCTCCACAGTAAAAAAGCCACATGGAAATTTCAACAAACACTTTGAAGCAGTCTCAATCTGGTGATCCATTTAAACTAGTTCGAAAATTGCCTTAACATGTATGAAGGGAAAAATGGGATCGACAATGCCAAAAGCGAATGACCTAGCAAGAGACGTGAAGATCGACAAGTCTTGAGCAGTGGTTTGTGAACCCAACAAGTCACGTTGCAAGTCACGAAGCAACAACAACTACTACTTTCCCTGCACGGTCTTCTAACACCTTCCCAATGGACGTCGAGGAGATGCTCTAGGGCAAGTGCTACGGTGACAGAGACGTAATGCATCACAACCATCTTGTCGCACTTCAGAACCTTCGCACCAACAAATGATAAACCTATCGACGGAGTCATGTGTACCACGTCTGAACAGCATTTCGTCCAGCAAGTGATACCGAACAAATGTTTATATTATTGCAAAACTACTGCCTAGGAAGACAAAGTCAACAACGACAGTCGGAGCTATTCATTGACTTATTACTGAAAACAACACTTGCCTTACCAAATTGGTCAAATCAATCATTTCTGAAGCACTGACACACTCGACCATCTTTTTGTGTGTCTAAGCTTAAGCAATGAAAATGCCGGAGCACGTCCCGCACGCTTTTGACGCTAAGATGGGATATGAAGACCAATGAAGATGAAAGATGTGCTAGTGTGCAAAATGCATCTTCCTTCTTTTCAACTGATTCGACAACCTCTACCTCAGCTCGAATCCCTCAAGTGGAATCACTTGAGCTTGTGAGCCCGAGTGGAGGAATCGAGAAGACAGAGCTTTACGACTTCTCTTCAACAGCCCGGACTTCTTTAAATAAGAAACCTAACAGCATCAAAAAAGCACCTCAGTGTAGACTTCAATTTCCGCTGCCTACGCATTGCAAAACCGATGGCATACGTCGTGACTGCCAGTGTGTCCACTACCATAGCAACAACACGGTTTCATCTGGCTGCGATATTCATCATAGCAACAACTCATTAGTCAAACCAGAATGACATTTAACTGGACTATCCCCTACACCACCAGCGCTTTACAGCCTTTCGCACACCCCACTCCTCGAGCGAAATCTGACAAAGTCAATGTAATGCTATTTCCAATTGCACTCCGTCAGTTATGAACTTTGGAATCTCGTGTTTCTTATCCAGCTGTTGTTGCGCATAGACTTTTTAGCTCGAGGATGGCCAGTGTGGCAGTCAAGTTACCGTTAGGAGTTGATATGCAAAGCCAAGCGCAGGCCGATGCTCACAGGTAGATAATGAAATGTCACCTACATCTAGAAGAATTGAAGATGATAGTTGGTGCAGCCTCACGCACTGCCAGCCTGGACGACGACTGAGTCATCAACGCCTCCGACAGTCATCACGGGTAGCCCCGCCCTCGAGTCGAGTGCAAAGCACGTGCACGATGCCCACACATACGTACGCGCCCGCAAAACCACGGAAATGAGTGAAAGCAAGCGCAACCGACCACATCCACCCTCCACCACAGGCGAGCTACTCAACCGCCCTCTTTGTGCGCCCCACGCGCAAGATAAACGAATCCATCAACGATCATCAAATTACACATTTATTTCCCACGACTCTTAATTTGAGGTAAAATGAAACCTCAACCCTTCTCACGAATTGCTTGCATGCGCACATGCTTACGTTTTCATCATGGCAGGAAACGCTAAAATATGGAGCAAGCAACTACGCAGTTGTTCAAGCGTCGAGGTCCGCCCTCTGAACTCTTCTGTAGATGTCTCAAAAGCGATTTTACAGATCGAATGAAGTAAAATCAGCGCTTACCTCGGATACGTAGTTTCGTCAATTTATTTTAGTTATTGGACAGAAAGAGTTCTGAATACGTGGGTTTTAGAGTATGTGTAGAAGGAGGTCGAGATAGGTGGTAGCAGGCACGAAATAAAAGACCAGGCGACAGACCATGAGACCGTCAAATGCGAATTGGCGGCGCGGGAGATGCACAATGAAAAGGAGGGAGAGAGCAGAAAGACCCAGCAGCGAAAAAATGCGGGGCAGCACCACTGCCAGAGAAGATAGCAAAAAAACATTCCTACACATCGACAACTGCCGATAAAGAAAATTTATCGATAGGTAGATAGGACTGAAACTGCAGTTACCGCTGCTGCCGTTGCCGCCACCACTGACAAGGAGAAAGAGAAAGAAGCTTTGAAGGCTAGTCTTTGTTCCTTTACAACAAAAGCATAGGCAGGAAGGGGAGCAGCAGCAAAAACAGACATCCCCACAGAAGAAGATACGGCAGAACGGGCGTGTACGGTATAGGGAACTGAGGAGACAGCAGCAAATGAAAAAAAAGCAGCAGTAACATCTTGCTTGGGGTGAGAGATTAGAGCATCGTGTTTTTTTCAGTCAACTGATCAAAAGGCTCTAACGACCGCAGTCAGAGCACATTATCTGATCATCATTCGTGAGGAAGCCGCGACCCACAAGGTTGCAATCGCACTTGCTGCAAGCAAAGCACTCCGAGTGCCAATGACGGTCCTCAAACGAAATAAACTTGCAGCCACCGAAACCTAAGTGAAAGAAGATGGAGAAACTCATGATGCACAGACAGAAACTAAGACAGCAATGAGAACTAACCTGTAATAGGCTTGCCACACTTAGTGCACTTCTTTGCAAAGAGCTCCCCGTAACAGTCGGCGCAGTAAGGTTGCTCGTCCTTGGAGGTGAACTTGAGGCCGGCGAGTTGTTTACCGCAACTGGTGCAAGTGAAGCATTCCTTGTGCCAGGGATTACCCTTATACGTGACTCCACCACGGCGTATGACTTCGGCACATTTCGTGCAGCGTTGCGCATACTTGGCCTCATAGCAGGGCACGCAGACTACCTGATTGTCACGGGGGATGAAACTCTTTGCACCAATAGGCTGTTTGCATTCTACGCAGACAAAACATTCCTCATGCCACTGCTGGCCGCGGTACTCGTACTTCCGCATGCCCGCCTTGAAGACGCCCTGGCACCCATCACAGCGGGCTGCAAAGCGCTCGTCGTAACAATCGGAGCAGTAAAGTTGGTCGTCCTTCGTCGCAAATGGACGGTCCGCCAGCGAGGTGTTACAGGCAGAGCATTTGAAACACTTTTCGTGCCAGTGCCGCTCTTTGAAGGAGAGATCCTGTTGTCCATAGGGAGAACAAAGAGACAAAAACAATGTTGTGATCAGCAGAGAAGAGCGGAGTAGTGGTGTTGAAGGCATCTGGGTGAAGGAGTAGGTATAGGTCTAAAATTTAACTTAAATCCGTGCAAACACGAATACATAAACTCACACACATGACCCAAGGCAACTGGCAACAACGGTCCTATTTCACACGTAGAAACTGATAGATGAACAGACGCAGACACGACAGCTAGCACGGGGACAAGTTGGGCAAATGTGACAAAAAGGAAGGGGCCAAGGGAAGGGAAAGGAGCATGAACTACGGGAGAAACTCACGGTGGGCTTCGCTCGAACCAGGGCTAGGTGTTTCTAGGAGGCCAAAACGCAGGTACGTGGGTGGGTTGACGTCTAACATCTCGAGAGTAAAAGAATCACCCTTCGACTCAAGCGATCGCATAGCACTGGCGTGATTCAGATGGCTTCCAGTAAAACACACTACTTTACAACAGAGGTGGCAACGACAAGAACCTACACCTTCCATGAATCCAAGGGTGCTCGACAGTGACGAAGACCACATGAATAAAGGACGGAAGAGAGGGAAAAATGGAGGGAGGACGAAAAGAGTAACGAGACTCACCGGAGGGGACTAGGGAAGGCGCGTCAACATGCAAGTCAATAGAAAAGGGTCGAAGAAGGAGGGAAAGAGAATCGAAGGGACGATTAAAACACATGAACCTACTGGTGGCAGTGAGCTAAGACTCTCTACTCCAACCTACCTTGGAGTCGCAGCCAATCTTCTCCTTACACTGTTCGCAGGTGTTCGCAAATTTCGCCTCGTAGCAGGCCAAACAATGCGGCTCCTCGTCTCGGAGGATGTAGCGTTGACCGGTCAAAGATACATCGCAACTACGACAAGCAAAGTGGCCTGTATGGTGCTCCTGATCCATGGCACGCGTATATTCTTCGGAAAATATGAGCTAAAACGCAGAAGGTACTACGTTATTGTCATCTCGGTGCGACGACACCTGTAAAAATTTAGACCCAGATAGGAAGCGCCCAGCTACAGTAGCCGACAAAAAATCAGTGTAAGACTAACCACTCGTTTGATTAAAACAAACCACCAATGCTAACCAACCGCAAAAAATAAATGGGACGCGCGTACGCACGAGAATGCATAAACACGCTCTACCTCGCAATAAATCTCACAGAATGGATGGTCTCACTAGGTGCACGCAGCTTAGGCAAGTAAACATACGCACACACGAGCAGTTCAATAATACGTACGTAATAAATAAACACGTTTTTAGTATTTTTCGCGCCTATCAAAGGGGAGTAAGTCAGGAAGAGCTGATAAAGAACCATGAGAAAAGGCTTACGTGAAATATGAATATGAAATGCTAGATGCAGAAATAGGCAAGGTGATTATTCCTTGTCGGCTTCTACTTGTAAATGGCGTACAAGTGTGCGTCTATCCAGCACACACGCGTCTAGGTGCAATCACGGCACGACAGCAGCTACGTTGGACAGAGTATTATTCAAGGCCACGCGCGCACCCACACGCCGTCTCCTAGTGGGCAAATAGGCTAATCCAATGGATGAGGGCTCGGGCAAGGTGGACAGGAGAAATCAATGGAAGAGGCAAGTTTAGCGATGGCTGCTAGCACGTCGGCGCTTAGTATGTTATGCGCGTCCCTACACCGACGCACGACACGTACGCGCACACGCCTCCACACCACACCCACGCGCATGCCTGTCCCTACAAATGCTGCAAACGCCCCAATTGGCCTGTGTGTCGCTGACGAGTAACGCCTTGGCAACCAGTAGCAGCTTGGCACGAAGACAACCAATAGGTGTACAGGTATGACAACGCTTTATGTGGCAATCTGATACCACCATGTGTACAAATAAGAGGCACTCATCTGTTCACAAACTGCGATCGCTGAGACTAAGCCAAGTTACTGAAATCATGAAATTGATCTCGGCTCACAACAAGAAAGACGAGTATGAGACTTACATGGTCGCAAGTAGCACAACGCGGCCGAATCATCTGACCATAGTGGCGAAGACAGTAAGGTTTACCGTTGAGCCAACCGTACACGAGATCAACAAGATGTTCGCTGCAATTCGAGCAACGGAAACAACCCGGATGCCAGGCAGGTGCGTAACTTGTGTCAGAAGAGTCGGACAGGCGATGCTCTGGCCGAACTCGGACACAAAACTCCCTAAATCCAATATGCTCTGAACACTCAGCACATACCTAAAATTGTTACAAAATGGTTACTATTAAAATAAAGTAGAAAGCATAATACAGAAATCAATTAAATTAGCAGCAGAATATAGACATTACCAAGCCGACACAACACGAGCGCAAAGTACTGGAACCCACACAATCAATAGTATAAATCAACAAATACCGATTATTTTCAAGGCAATTACTCATACCGAACCTCACCTTTTAATAGACCGAATTAAAACTCACAATAGTAGCCTTTGCAGATACACGTTCGACACGTCCAATGCCAAAATCACGACGATTTCGCGAGTTTTGAAAACGCGTAGCCTCACGAGATTCGCCCTCTAGATTAGCGGGTGCGGTAGAAGGGGGAAGATTTAGCTTTGCAGTGCTTAGAGAAGACGCTGGTTTTCGATCCTGTGGAGGAACTTGGTGTCGAATTCGCCGGAAGCGCATCTCAGCATACACCTCCCCTCGGGGAATTTCCGAAGATGGAAGGGAAGTAAGAAACGCTTCAACCTGGCAGAGAGATGTCGGAGGAATTTAGGGTTATCTAAGATGTTAAGCGCAGATGGTCACTCAGAAGCCAATTCACTTCTGGTGGCCAACTCAATAACCACTATGTCAACTTTAACTATGAAGAATGGCGCAACTAATTGTTCGACACTAGATTTGTAAAAGCAACTCTAGACATCCTCCAGCCCGGATAATTTGAAGTATTGTGAAACTGATTGTCCATGTTGCTTTCAAATGTCAATTTAAAATCTTTTACAAAGTACAGCACAGCACAGCAATGAAAGATACGCAAGAACAAAGTAAGCAAATTACCTCCGCAGACTGGATACCAACAGGAAGCCAATGCAGCCCATGCTCTTTTGCAATTGCCTGAGCAACATCATAGGCTTTAAGCACAGTGACATCAGACAATTCCAACTCGTGTAGGTAAGAATCTTTCGACGGATCAGTAACAGCATGTTTGTCGTAAGAACAGTGACAACCAGTACACGTTGCCCTAAAGTATGCAGAACTGGGGATAGCTTTACCTCCAAGGGTGAAGTTTAAAGCCGGAGCACTCCGAACCACAAGTAAGACAGGGTTTCCCAACGTCCTGTTGCAAAGCCATCGTTATGTCCTACGGCCAACCCCACACTGGAAACCAGGAACAACACCGCTGCGAAATATTCAAAGGTGAAGAAGCGGTAACCACTGCGCGAATATAGATATATATAAACAAATGCAAGCGCTAATTAATTACAACAATGAAGCACTAAAATATGTGTAGTTGCTTTCCTTAGTTTTTTGTAACTGTTTAAATACTATCCTGCGTAGGGGCATACTTCGTATTACTTGGTGTTTAGGCATGGAAAAAAGGCATAGGCAAAATGAGTCAGCTTTTGATAAAATTGTATAACAAAACACAAAGATAGGCAAAATGCGCTAAGCAAGCACAATATTGACATATGTAGCTTAACTGTTGGGGCAGCGAAACATTCGTCTAATTATCTCTACCCCATATAAAGGCCAATAAAAACACCAAAAACAAAAATGTGCGGGTTGTAAATGTAGCGCTCTGCGACTTTCCATTAGACAGACGAAGGCACTAATTTAAGGTGAATATATGCATTCTGGGGAAATAAGAGTGGATTCGGCCTTGGATTGCCGCGAAGACCAGCCTCGCGTACAAGAGTCGGACAAATGCCGCAAGACATCAGGTTTCTACGTGGACTAGGTATTGCAATACTATTACTAGTATGTTGTTGTGACAATTTAAAACATTCTTTAGCAGTCCAGGACTTCTCATCAGGTGTCAGAAGGCATTAATCTGTGTCAGATGCTTGTATAAGGAAAAGCAGAGATAGGAATTCGTTTTAGCCGAAGGCGAGCCCACGTGAGCAAGTGTAAGATGGAATCCAAAGTTGTAGCGTGCCGAGGCTTCCTATAGGGTGGAAGAAGGCACAAGTGAGGTTGAATGCATGTATTCCGAAGACGACAGGGTTAACGGGGCCTTGACGTGGCCCGAAGGCCAACCCCTGTGTACAGAGGCCAGACAAACTCTAAAGTGACCGCCAAACGTCAGGTAGTCACATAAACAAAGCATTGCAAAAGTAGACACCACTAATGCAGACAATCACATGAGCAAGATGCAATACATATATAACGTGATAACCTGACATCTGGCGGTTACTCTAAGATTCGTCTGGCCCTTGTGCGTATAAGCTGGCCTTCGGATCAAGCTCATGCTTAATCCATTTACTCTCCCTGGAATATATGTAAACTGCTCTTATTAATGTCTTCTTCTAACCGGTGGGAAGTCTCGAGACGCTACACAATGCATTACACGATTTGTCAAAGATGATATTAATGGTCAGAAGGAAAGCACTTGTGCTTGCACCACATCTGATCCCACATTAAAGCTGAAAATTAAATGTATACATGGCTCGACCTTGACTTACCTAGTTAGTTACCTTGATTCTCTACAGATGACGCTCAATACCATGACTTTGGCCACTTCCAGCGCAAATATAGTTTTACAGCAATCCATTTCCAACGCTATGTATATTTACCATATGGCAATACTGAATGCGTGTATTCTGAGATAAGGGGAAGTTGTAGAGCTTTGACATGGCACTAAGGCCAGCTCTCCCAGTCAAGAGCGTGACGAACACCCAAGTAACCGCCAGTAAATCAAAAAGCCGAACAAAGTATTGCATTGTTACTACATTTTGACTGTTCTTTTCTATAGTGTTGCTCCCAAAGTTAGGCTAGTTTTATGGAGTTGTAGGTGTCATGAGGTACAAGACTTTATCCTTGTTTAAATGACCAGGTGTGCTGATTTATTTGGCAACCATTTTGGCTGCGGGTTTGGGTGACCCTCTTACCTTTGTCTGTGCCTCTTTAGAACATTTATATTCGGCTCAGATATAGAACCTATAGCGTCCCGAGATTTCTCATCAGTTAGAAAAAGGGATTAAGCTGGGCTTAATGCTTGTATGCCAAGGCGATCAAAGGGACTAACCCTGGGCTTGACCCAAAGGCCAGACAAATCTTAAAGTAACTTTAAGACATCAGATGACTAAATAGTCAGAGTATTACAGTAACACTCTTTATTTAAAAGGTGTCTTTAGGCTTCGAAAAGCCACTATCAAGTTCGAAACTATTTCCTTTATTTCTACTTTTATGACTAATTTTAAGCGCAGTGTGTATGAGAAAATCCTTAACATAATAATGACAAAAATAATTAATTATGTATAAATTCATTATTTATCCCAAAAACCATCTAAAAGCGTCTGTAGTTGTTCTGTTTTGGTGTTTTAATGTAGTGTTTGCCTTTAAAATTCGACAATCTAAAAAACGCTACCTCATTTTCCAAGAAATTATCTCGCATTCAGTGATGCTGCACCACGTTGTTTGCTTAATCGCCAGTATCGGTAGTTGCCACTTGAATCGCCTGTGGGAGCTTTCCCAAATGATACCAAAAATCTATCAGTACAAAGAGGCTACGTATGCAATTTTGCAATAAAGTCTTCCTAATTGTAGCTGCATTTCTATGTAGGCGTAATGCTTTTGGCGATCACTTTGGGATTTGTTTTGCCTTTGTACGTGTGGGCTGGTCATCGGGCCATGCTCAAGTCTAGTCCCTTCGTTCCCTTCGGAATACGTGTATCCAGCCTCACTTGCTGCCTTCCTTCTTCCAATGAGAAGTCTCGGGACGCTGCAGTCGGCAACACAGGATCAAGCAAATTTTGTTCACACAGGGTACCGTACAGTTGATAATGTCCACCACAATCTGCAGCCAGAAGGTAGGCCTCTGTGCTTTAGGTTCCCAGCCTCTGGAACCAATAATCAAGACGAACAAAAATTCCGAAGAGATCAGCAATTTTGAATTTAAGAGCATTTCCTAGGTTACTTAGGGGCTGAGAGCCAGTTTTGCTAACAAGTAGGTGTTTTTAGCGCTGATTGCGTAGTGCTGATTTAGTAAAGAAAGTAATAGGGGTGACGCTTGGAATCAGATGGGTTTTGATGTTCCTATTATGAACAAGGTATCTAGTTAATGACGAATTAAGATATGTGGGAAAAATTGGGGAGTTGATTTATTTAGCCAAGACTTCCCGCTGAGGCGTATTCTGAAAGAATAAGAAGTATGAGAGCAAAATGGACACCAAAGTAATCGGCAGAGAGAGCAACACATGCCTAGAAAAGAAATATCTCTTTAAAAGAACCTGCTAGATGGGCGGCCGAGAGATCGAAGTATTACGATATCATTCCCGCATTTATTCCCCAAAATGATGCTTAACTAAGCACAGCTGATGCCAAGTTGGGAAACACAACTCAGCGCGGTGTAGATCTGTTACACAAAGCTCATGTCGAACATGGATAGAACATTTAAGTGCCCTTAAGAAGCAATCTTGTTGTTTAAAAGAATTTCTAATTACATCGCTCAAAAGTCACTACAAATCGATTCTGACTAAAAGTTTAACAAATGGCCTAAATTAAATCCTTTTTTGGACAGTTTGTTTGGATCGGCACGTTTGTATAATTAAAGGTGACGGAGCGTTCAATAAACCAAATGGGCTATGAGTCTAGTTGAGGTTCTGAAAGTTCCAAAATTGCTGTTAAGAGAATGTTTGTGCTGAGTTGTTATTATTTTTTTCAGGTCCATTTACTTCGATTGTGCCAAGCGATTGGCTTAATTATCTTAACAAAGTTGAAGACTATGTTCGACAGGGGCTCGTCCTTGAATCAGAAAAACACCTTGTGACTATATATGAATATGCAATAGAGGTTGGATGTCGTCATATTTTTACTCGTAGATTCTACCGGAGTTATGGGATGATGAGAGCTTTACAGTGCTTATGATACGTCTGGCTATTCTGAAGGGGTATTGGTCAAATTTTTCTTAGTCCTTCAGCATTGAAACACTGGAGGAGGTTCCGAAGTTTCTCGCCATCCTTAATCTTAATGCTCCTTCGAACACTCGCTTGATGACTAGTATAGCGCATTACTTTTCTCTCTTGGGTACTGCGTATTTTGTCCGACACATTTTTAGGCAACATCCCTCGTGCCGAATCCACTTTGAATCGTGCCAAAACCTACGCGCCTTGTGATCTAGACAGGAGTTTGCTCGAAAAAGCAATGGAATGGCACAAACATGGTCTATCCTTTCGCCCTTTAATAGGCATTTATGATTATGTGCCTATAAACACTGGTATTTCTGAATAGCTTCGTAATCGTTTTAGGTGCTTGGGGTAATAGGCTGGGGAGAGACACTAAATCTTCCATGAGCTTTTTGCCTGACCTCAACGATAGGTAGTGCTTGCGTTTTCGCTTAGGGTTGTATATTTATTATAGGTTGAATCAATCAGTGAACAGCCTCAAGGTAAGGCTCGGAATTGCACTGTAATCATGTCTTTCAGTCATCAGATGTGCCAAGTAGCGATGATACGCCTGATGCCAATGTCTCGGATATATCGATGGAAGTGGTGAATTCGGAGTTACAGTCACCGATTCGACGTCCACCATTGTTTTCCTTTCATCCAACTCCCCGTTCACTTCAACGAATCGGTGAGGAAGATGAGGATTTGGAGGATGAGTTGGAAGATGAGGTCGAAAAAGGAAATAATGATGAGGAGACCCTCTCAGTTGTGCGAATGTCACCTACAATCTCTCTCTCCCAAATTCTTAATGATTCTTGTGTTCAAATGTCTTCTCAGTACTCAGCTTCTGGGGAGGGTACTTCCAACTACGATAGTGCCGCTGTCACTATGCGGCCTAATGTAGTGCCTGCTCAGTCAAACTATCCTCAAGGTTTGCCACCTTTATTATGTTTTGCCTATCTTTATGTGAGAAACCGATAAGTTTAAGATTGTAGCTGAATTTTTTGCGCATTGGGAATTTTTATCTTCTCCAATTCCGCACAATTTGGCTGGCCATAATGGTCTCTTCAGTATACTTTCGACTTGATTACCGAAATATAGTTGAGCGTTTCTTAATTTACGCATTGTTTTATACGTTCGAACAATTTTATGCATTGTGCATTGAAGAACCTATGATTCGAGAAGTAGGGCATTTCCCACCAAAGTACTGCAGATTTTCTACTTTTTCTTTAGCGTTATGAAAAGTTTTTTCCATCCATAATCCACTCTTGAAAGTGGTGGGGTTCATGCTCACTGTTCGCTGATACCGCCGGTTTTCGAAGTCCATCGTAATAAATTTGCCGATATGAGGACTTAGGGTTCTTCTTATTTATTACTAAATTTGTCTTTGGACAATAATTGAGACGCCTGTTTTAACTTACAAAGACGTTCCTCACTCTGAAATTTATTTGGAATTAAATCCACTTTTCTAGCTCAGTGCTGTAGAGAAGTCTCGCCATTTCATTGATACCATCCAATGTTGTTCGTCGCCATTAGTTCTAATATTTCCAATGCCTTTATCAGTTCCGATGCTGCCACGTATTACGCCTAAAGATTTACAGCGAGGTTGTGGCTTTCCTAACATGCATCAGATCGGCAGATGCATTCTCAATAATGAAGCACTATGTGTGAAGGTAGACGTTTATAATTTTTGCCTTCCAACTACCTTTATTATTTTATCACTGCATAAGCAAGCACAGATAGAAAAGAAGGAAGGGAAAAAGACAAGGCCTCCCAATCACCACTGCCGCCACTGGAATCATCCTCTTCCGCAAAAAAGAAAGGTATTTCGGAGGTGAGTCCAAATGAGCCTCCTGCGGTGTTAAATGTGGAGGAGACAGAGGTGGAGGCGGATCCCATCTCGGCGTTGGTCGAACTTTCAAACGTTGTGGTTGACAGTGAGAAATTTATCGTTCTGCGCCAAATCGCTCGCGGAGGATTTTCATCAGTATGGATCCTCAATAAACTATAGAAATATTTGTTCCTGTAAAATTGCCCTCTATAGTTCAGTTAAGACTCTAAGATCCTTGCCATTTCCATGTAGCTTTTAATACAAGTTACTTCAAATTTGGCACACAGTTGCACAACCCTCCAAATATTCCCCCTTTTCAGTTTATTAAGGTCAATTTTCCTCTCCATAATGGTATGAACTGTGGCTTCCTGATATTGACCACGTGGGATGGATTGGAAATTACTTTTACGCATAAATTGAACTTGGTTATGTTCTTACGACTGCCGTAGGTATTTTGTGTGATGAACAAGAAGCGTGAGATGCGGGCGCTCAAGCGTGTCGGACTGGCCTCCGCCTCGGCGGATGTGTTGGCAGTATGCAAGAACGAAGTCAATCTCCTCTTGTCCCTTCGTGAATCTGGCCGTGTCATCGTTCTCTACAAGTAGTCAGTCTGCTGATTTTACTACTTTTGTTCTATTAACGGTTATAATAGCCGTTGTTCAATGGTGTGATTTGAATTTCCTTAGCTTTGTGGGCCAACGACATGTCTGACAGTTTGATTTTTGCCTAGTCGATTGATACTCAAGTTTTTGGTCGTAGCACTCCAGGTGTCTGAAAGGGTTTATACGAAAAAGCATTAGTCATTTCGTGAAAAAAAAAGTAAGTTGTTCTAGTTTCTGGGTAGTTGGAGGCATTTATAGTTTGGAGTGTCGGTCAAGAGATGAATTTTGAAACTACTTTGTCAAAGCGTTGTCTTCTCGTCATTGAGGCGCTTATCCTAAAAAGCACTTCCTTTATGGTGTTTTTATTATGCTATTATTAATTTTGCTACGGTTATTTTGTTATCAAGCTTCTTTCCTATACTTGCGTTGCGATTTGTCAGATTGTCAATGAGATTATACAGCAGCGGATCCTTAACTCAAAGATTCTGAGCATCGAGTGAGTTGATTCTTCCCCCTATTCAAATGGCAAATTCATACTGCGCGGCTAAAATATGCTGGGGATAATGCTTGAGGCACTTAAGCTCAAACAAAACTTTGTGATATCTTGACGTAGAGATTGTCTACGAATAATCCCTTATGATTCGGTCGCTTGAAGTGGAGTATGTTTAAAATTAAGTAGTTCTCAGCTAGAATCGTTTCGCATGTTCAAGAGTAGTGGTCAAGCACACAGCTTTCTTTTCCAGCGATCTCTCACCCTCTCAACTGGTGATGGTGCTAGAACTCGCGGAGCAGGATCTCAAGTCGCATCTTAAGGTGCGTCGGAAGAGCGGATCCCTCCCCGACTACATCGTCACCTTTTTCTGGAGGGAGATGCTCGAGTGTGTCAAGGTCATCCACGACCGAAGTGAGTTGTTACTCTGCTGATTATTATGTGGTAATAATTTAGAGACGTCGCATTGAGTGGCATCACCCGTATTCGGCTTCGAGATTTGTCAAATTCCCTTTATCCTGCAGGACAAAGGACTACTTGAGGGACGTTCTACAGTTCCACACTGCTTAACCCATTTGGTGGCGTAGGATAGGTTATTCCTTAAATACGTTTTTTTCTTGGTTGTAGTAGGTGCGATACTAGCCAAATGGTTCAGCACATCAAATTTTACCAAGTAGGTCAAGGGAGATCTCTCTTGACTATTGTAGGTTAATGTTTTATTATTGAGATGAATTGCAGGTCCTACTGATTGATAAATCGGTAATCACCTTTTCGTCACCTGCTCTGTGGTGTTTGGAGCCATTTTAGGCACTCCCTATAAGAACCTATCCATCATCGTCTAGCCGAACGAGGGAATACGTGCTGTTCTCTTGATGTTGGACACTGATTCATCCTGTTGCTGTGACACATCACTCATATGTTAAACCTTAGTGGTTATGTTTTCTAAGTGGTCATTTGCTCCGAGTTGTGGAATGACTGACTAGTCAAACTATGACTAATGATAATGTCCATCTCTTGGAGCACTATTTGTGGCCAGCTGAATCTTCTGGTGGTTGGCTGTCATCCAGGCCTTCGTTGACGGCTTGTGCGAATCATATTTTTGTTTAGCTATCGTGGATGCACATCTGCACCTCCGAGAAAGGAAGGAAGACTAGCATGTGTAGCATCGTAAGAAATAGGCTGAAATTGAAGCAATCTTTACTCACTTTAACAAATTTGGTTCTGAGTTGTCACACTTTTGCATTAACTCCCGTGCGACCTTCAAATACCGTTGTCTAACTCGTTTTGGGCCACTTGTGAACTGTCGAGTTTCATTTAGTTGTTCGACTTGTATCAGATGTTGTTGACCGGGGCTCGTGTAACAATTACGTATAGTACTGTACTGTACTTCCATTGTAAAGTCTTGTTCAAATAACTGGAAAAAGCCTTGTAGTTTTAAGGTCTGAATACGGAAGCCTTTCCTTTCTATGCGTCGAAAGTGTCTTTCTCATCGTTACCGAAAGGGTTTTATAGCAACTGAACATTATTTCCATGCATCCACTTTCTCCTTGACCTCGCCCACTATTTTATCAACGAAAATTTGGAATTGTGAACTGCAGAAGTTGTTATCTCAAGAGCAGTACATGGAAATCGAGTGTAAAAGCAGCCTCATCTTCCTGGTGGCCTGAGGGTAGGCCTTGAGAAGCCTATATGCTTAAAATGAATCTCTCGTCATCATCTCCCCAGAGCTATGTTAGAGTCGTGATCTTGCATGTGGCTTGTGGTTAGCCACGTTCACAGTGAAGTTTACACTTTTTGGTCTGACTGGGCCACTCAGGAGCATACGCAACCGCTCAGGCGATCGTTGTTGATACGTTTCTCGATCTTACTGCCTTCGAGGAAAATTGATGAGATTTGTAAAATACCTATGGACGTGAGACTTGCAATTTCCAACAGTGTGAAGTAATGCGCTAAAATGTTGCTATAACTTGAGGTGGTCAAGACGAAACCAGGCCAACAAATAGGACTGCACCCTGACTTTAATGCATCAGAAGTGGATTTTCTGTTGTTGGTGTGAGGGGAATCGACTTCGATGAGTAAACGGATAAACTGGAAGATCTGAGCTGAGACCAACTTGAATGAAATAAATTGATAGGTGTTTTCTCTTTTCTCTCTAAGCATGCACAAATTGGCTGCATAATGGGGAGACTTTTGGTTACCATTTTGTCCAAGAAATCTTCGTTTTGTTTGGAGTTCCATCATGAACATTCTAAATGTGAATACATGCAAATTGTAAAGTGTGAGGAATTTCGGCAGGGTACTTAAGCAAGTATTATTCATTATCGGGTATTCAGTAGCACTTAGCGTGTTCTTGGGATGTTTGTACAAACGTTCAGAAGGAAATGGAAGCGATGAAGGGGAGACAAGAATGCGAAGCAAAATCTAAGTGGACTGAAGTTGGAATTCGTTCTCATTCTTTTGAAAGCGCTTTCGATAAATCCTGAATTGACTAAACTACCATTACACTACCTAGTGTAGGGGTAAGGTTTCAACGAGGGAATAGCTTGGGTCGTGCATATGCAAGATGCAAGAAGTGTGTTTGATGAGGGTTGGCTTTGGTAAACTCCTCTCGATAGAGGTGCCTCAAGGCACCCTTATGGCAGGCCTCAATCACTTCACTTCAGCGTTTTGTGTAACTTCCTTCCTTCGTTTTGGGGGAGATGGAGTATCAACGAATGTTGATGATCGTTTTCCTTCCTTTCCGCCTTGAATTGTTCTTTCTAGGGAACGGGTTCGTTTACCCAACCTTTAAGTGTTAATACTCCAACCACCTCAACTACCAAGGTAACAATTTCGCGATCGCTAAGGCTGATGTTTTATAATGAGTCCAATGGCACGTAGCTCGAGGCTATAGACAAGGTGAGAGCGGGCGTGCGGGTGGGGGGAGGGGGAGGGGGAGGCCGAAGTTGGATAGTCAGCTGTCTCAACTCCAAACCACGACTCGGTGAGTCATCAGCGGAAACTATTATTGGATAGACCTTTGCGTCACCCTCTGTCTGGAGCTCGGGCCGGTCCTGATTTTGCGTAGGTGGTGGTGTAGGTCCTCTTCGCATGCAATTTACAAAACTCCGTGTTTTGACGATGTTCAGGAAATCTTGAATCACCCAAAAGCCATATAAATTTATTTTAATGAGATTGAGACGATGTTCTACTCTTAATTTGAAGCAAAATTCGACGTGACTTGTAGTTTTGAATGTCTGCACGCACATGTAGCTGATGTCATTGTCTTTTTTCGTTGGCTGTTAACTATCCTCAGCTGTCGACTTTTACTCAAGTGTGAATCTGCGCCAGCCAGTCGAAGTATCGTGCTGATGCCCGACGCAAGGATTCAACTCTCACTCCTATGTCAAAGCTGAGGGCTGATCTTCCATGTGTTGTCGACTGCTTTAATCTCTAGCTCCGGGCGAGGATTTGTCACGACCTTGGCAACAGAGCCGACTTCCTGAGCATGGTCGACCAGATGGTGTTTTCACTCTGTCTTGCCCATTGGTTGTTTAACCTGTTTATGTATTTACTTCGGAAAGGGCTACAGAGATCCTTGAACTGTTGGTGGTCGCATTTTCGAGTTGTGGAAATCTTTTTTTTTTTGGTGTAAGTTAGCCTTAAGAACTTTTGTGGCACATCTTTTTGCTGCTTCACTCATTCCTTGCACCCAGTTGCTTCGGTTTTACTTCGCATCTTAACCGTCTGACTTCCCCTTGACATGGCTCACTTCTCTTTAACAAAAGATGACTAGTTGAAATGAACTCACTGTAGCTCTGACAATTTTGCCGCCTTTCAAAGATTACCTGTACCCACTGGCCACTAGAATGTTACTGTAATGGTGCCAGCATGATCCGATCCGATCTGTGTATGCGCCTCTTAAAACAGCAACAACCTACTTCATGCTTTCAGCTCTCAAGGTTTTTTTTGTAACTTTTACAGTACGTCTCATCTAGAGGGTTCGCGTAGAGGTTAAGTGTTGTTAGTAGATGTTTCTCAACTGCCTTCATTGTTTGAAAGGATTAGTCTACGGTGTAGTTCGTGTCAAACGCTCTTGGATGTCAGGTGGATTGCGGTGTTCATTGGCGCATTCGAATCGGGGCTCTCGGAGTGTTTTTTTGCTCAGGGGAATGCAGCCATCCTCAGATCATGAATAGCCTCTGTATCCGTGTTTACTACACCATGCTCAGTCAATCTGGTTGTAGTGCCATTCACGCATCCAGTTGCCATAACTTCGATCGAGGCGCATGTCACGTGTGTGTGTGTGACGGTGGTGAGCGTAGTGATAATCTGCTGAATTGAGAGCTTTTGTGCACACAAAAGCGATTCTGAGAAGGGATTCATGCAGTGCTGATGCTCCTATACGTTAAAGAGGCTAGAGAAAGCGCGGCGGTAAGCGCACAGTGTACATCGAACCCCCCTCCCCCATTATCGCGAGATTTAGGATGTGTGGTCATCAATGGGCCTCCGTTATTTTCGTCCCGTCTTAAAGTAGCCTTGCTAACTCGTTCGACCTCAAACCTCCAACAATTGGTAGACAACTTCAAATCTGTGTTTACTATCAAGTGTTTTGGTAACAAAGGAGGTTGCAGATGAATGTTACCAGCAGTGGTTTGATGTCGTGCCCTTTTCTATGCATAAAGTGGTGTTAGAAGTCCTGTGTTAACTAAACCTTATGCTCTGAAGAAAGATTTTTATTGACTTGCTCCAAGTCACTGGCACCTTTGTTTTCCACCTTTTTTGACGTTTTTAAGTTACTTTCAATGGGAAACTTTGAGACAGACAAGTGTATGACAAACCCTCGTCTTTTTACACTCGGTTCTCTGAACAATATGGCAAGTCCATTGTCTCTAAATGAATGCGTGTTTGGTATTAGGAGCTTTGATACACTTCACTTCGAATTGACATGTCGTCATAATCAATTGTAGCAAATCTTGTGTCCACCTACGCATACGCACAAGTAACCTACTAACCCAGGCACATTACATGTGGCCGAACAGTTTGGGCTGCCTGCGTTATACTTCGCGGTGGCGGCTCCTTTCGGCGTGTGGGAACTTGCAACATGTTTGTCACCTGTTTGTTTACTCATGATAAGGCCTGACTGAAAACAGTTTGCGAAATCCTTTCTGAAACCTGGTCCAATGCTGATTGAATATGGGTTTAAGTTTGGCTTCCAAAGCTGTGCAAACTTTTGAGACCTCTTTCACAGTCCCTGGCGGAAGTACGGAAGCAAAGTGTGTCGTTCATAAGTTGTTTACGTTGGTCCTTCACTCTCTGTCATGATGTTTGTCGTGTCAAAAAGGAAGTTCCATCTGCGCTTTCTAGGAGCGGTTCACGAATTCCTTCAAACGAATGAGTCTGAGAAACTATCACAATATCAGTTCACTTACCATTCAACGCCAATGAGCAATGAAGACCACCTATTTATCCTTTGCTTCATGTTATGCAAACGCACTCTTTACGAAACGTCCCCCCGGCGAATGTTGAATAATCACGGCTCGGGCCTAATCGACGCAATTCCAACGGGGCGGAGGAGAAGTGCTTCAGAAACAGGCGCGACTGATGGAAAAATGACTGTAACACATTCCATACCAAGGTTTCTCAGTGGAAAGCTCCATGTTACGTTGATACAGAGTTAAGTAGAAACGGAAAGGGAGAGTGCTTTCTTTTTGCTTTTGGGGAGTAGCATTAGTGGGTCGGAGATTGCGCCCGAGGCAGTTGTCACCTTGTGGACGCTGTGTTAGAATGCCATTCTAGCTGACCCTGAAAGTCGGCGATGGTTGGACCTGAGCTATGCATTTTGAACTAGCAATGTGTTCGATTCTGCAAAGGTTGAGGCGTTGGAAACTTGGTGTCCCTGTGGTGAAACCTTTTGATTTGGTCTGAATGTGTCATACATTTGTGCATGTTAACCAGTGTGCTACACGCCTGACCTCTGAATTTGCTCAACTATCGTTTCATTATTGCATTGTCACAGTCTTGCTAGGTAAAATAAAACGCCTTCCGTAGTGTTTTATTTGACTTCTGACTACGGCCTTTGTCTATTCTCGCAACTGGTTTTTTTTAATTATGTTGGTGTCCACTCTTAGGATATTAAAAGAGGTTAAATTTGAAAATAAACAGAATGTTGGGCTTCTGAAGTTGTGTGGCGCTTAGCAAATCGGCTTGCTCGTAGGATATCTCCAACTCAGTCTCTCAGTTTAACAGGAGCAACATTAATTGGGGTGAGCCCATGGACGGTGGTTTCCATTTGATCTGCAGATTTGCCACCATGTTGCCCTCCGAATCTGACTTAACGCCCCCAGTGGTGATCATTTGGCCTCAAAGGCCCCTAAACGCATACCTATGCAGCCTGACATGACCTCCCTCAAATGTGTGAGGCCGCACCAGTGGCACTGCCTTGCACACCTCATTGGGGTGGCATTTTGCAATTTTCTCTGCTAAAGTTATGCGCATTCAGTTTAACCATTATCTGTACACAATGATCTATGCAACGGGATGGTGCCTATCTTCATTCTCAAAAGTTACATACGTTTGTTGACCATTTGAACCCGACCTTGCTGGATTGTAATAATCAATGAAGTAACCTAAGGCCATATATTGTAGACACCATTGATAATTTGACATTTTTTAACCTCTGGCTGCGATTCTGCGGCATTGACATTTGAGGGCCACTGCTTTTGATCACGATGGCTGTGACGCGTTTTGAGGATTTTGGTGGTTTCAAGCCACCATGTTCTCTGCTGCGTTTAGGGCTGGATGGTCGTCCGTAGTGAGGATATCCCATATCTACGTCATTGAAATGCATCGTGGAGGGCAATTCCTTGGGGGTGTAAAATTGTTTGCATTGCCACATTGATGTCGCCTGACTGTCTGTCCACGTTAACTTCAGGTTTGCAGAACAACACGGCCAGAGCAGAAAGCGAGGGGAGTGGGGTCGTGAATCTTCAAGGTCCACAGAACTTCACTTTGATTATTTTCCTACACACCTTGATTTGTGTAGTTGCATATTTCACTACATCGTATGCTATGGTGTAAAGCTTTAAACTAAGCCTGATGGCACTTCTTTGGCTTTGCTTACATGACCTCCGTGTTGAAAATTTCCATCTCTACGATTGATCGTTGCTGGGGTGATAATATTTTTTGCAAATGTTTCTATTTCGCTAAACCATATCACCTTTTCGGGCACAAGCTTGGAGCCATATTTGTAATAGAAAGGATTAAAGTGTTGGTGGCGTGGTTAGTGTGTTGCAAACGCGGCTCCAATTTTGCAACTAAACACGCATTACGTTCAACAAAGTTTAGAATTTATTATCAAAGTTCTCTCTCACCATCCTGGAGACGTTTGCAGAAAAACTTAAATTATGTATGCAGTTGAACGAAACCCTCCATCATCGTTGAAAAGACGCCTGGCAACGTATCCTCGTGCACCAAAATAAAGATGACGAACGCGAATATGAGGTAGTTACGCTTTTTCGCATTTTTCTGCTTCCAGGAATTGTGCACCTGGACTTGAAGCCCGAGAACTTTGTGATAGTGAGGGGCATGCTGAAGCTCATTGACCTGGGCATCAGCCAACGCCTGCCCGCAGACAGCACTCATATGGATCTGCTGAAGCCCATGGGCTCCATTGTCTACATGAGTCCCGAACAGCTCGCTTCCATTGCCAGTAGCAACTTCCCTAACATTGTTGGCGGAAACGATGCAAAGGTAAGGGTAGCTATTGGCTATGTGGTGTCGCAAACGTGGAAAGCGGTTTGACCTCTAGGTCCCACGCCAATGAGTGACCACCCATCTTCTCGCTTTTATTTAACTTGATCACTCCTCCATTCATCCAGAAGTCACTTGCTGGTCCACCAGTTCTCATTATTAACTGACCCATTGCAGCTGTTATAATTGCCGTATAGTAGGACCCACGCCATTACTCCGATGTGAAATAGTGCTCCTTTACGATGTGACATTGAAGAAGAGCGGCAGATTGGAGTAGCATTTATTGGTATGATGCTAGCTCTTTTATCCATTCTCCATTTATCTCCTCCCCCTTACTCAAACATCTATCTTTTCACCTAATTTTTTTACTGACTAGCGACTCACTCATTCATCCACTGCCAACCAACTGATCAGTCCATACTTCATTGCTGAGTTCATCCTCCTGATCTACCCATCTGAATCGTGCCGTTTGGTTCGTTGTGCTCTCGTGGAACCGTGGTGTCGATTTATGCGCCTTCTTCACCACAGTCGCCTTCAATTCACTCATTTTTGTCCCTCTGCTTCTGTCGCCTCTGTGACTTATACCCTTCTAGGTGTTGCTTTCTGCCACGGCAGGATACTTCTATTTGCTTATGTTACTGAATTAGGTTCGTCATAGAGTTTGAATTTATAAATAGGAGGACTTATGTGGGTTCTCAAAGATTTCATTAACCTTTCTTTTAAACTTGCACAATTGAAATGTGAATTGAAAGAAGTATCAATGTTGAATTCTCTCGTTGGTTAGCTCTTGTTCGATAAGTCTTCATTTCGGCTTCTTCAATGGATCAGAAGTTTTACCCTCCCTCGGCCACGCGCATAATCCTATCTTAGTGCATCATCCTAATATAAGCACCTACTAGTCCGGGCTTTTTGTGAACCTCTACTCGCATCTCTTTGGCGCATCTGCGCGTCAATTTGCCTTGTACTTTGCGTCGAGGACCAGTTGCTTTGGTGGGTGCAATCATTACCATCACAATCATCTCTTTAATTTTGACCTGACGAGTTTGAGGTATGGACATTTTTGGTGCCAGTCATGGAGACTGAACACATTTTACTACTCAAATGAATGCATTTTAAAGCTCCTAGAGTCTGTGACTTTAGTATTTTGGTACCTTTTCACCTAGTGTCTGAATTTTTTACACTTCTTATTCGAACCTTGCCGCTTGCCACTTTATTTCTACACCCAGTAGGCAACTGCTTAGCTCTCCAACCATGTTATCTCTCTATCAGACCGTTTTATCTCATATGCTTTTGCTCAGGTGTGTTTCACACCGCCGGCGGTACCTCTCCGCCCTTGCGTAGCCCGTCAACTGTCCATTGAGACGTGAATCACAATTTGGCCCCTCTAGTACAGCGGAGTTCTGACGATTCATTATTCCACACTTTGTCCCCACCTATGATCAATCAAGCTGTCCATTTTAGTGCCAAATTGCCCCTTTTATCACGTTTAATTAAATGGTTAGGCAGGAATTCCAATTATCATCTATTTTATTGTTCGCTTTTGGAACGGACGATCCAGGCGTTGGGTGCCACCTAAGTTGAGGAAAGTGATCCACATTACTGTTTATTCATAGATGTCGTTGTCTGTATGCGAGTTGAATCCATCCTATTAAACGTTAAAATCAATTTTGGGAGTCGCGATGTGCGTTGCGACTTGAGGATGGCTTCCTCTTTTCGGTCTAATTAGCTCTCCTTCAATTCTTATCAACGACAAAGTTGGCCTTCAGTTTGAAGGACTTCAGAACTTTAGTCAAATCAAGCTTCTCCGGCTGACCACTCCTTTGTCAGAGGTTGTTTGCCCTCCGAGAACGGTCTCAAAATGGCACAATTTCGGCATTTCTGGTGCAGTGGGTTGCTTGGATATGCGTGATCGTGCACCTGAGTGAGGTAAGGGAGAATTCGATAGGTAAAATTGGTAATGACTGCCGGCAGTGGAAAGACTGAGCATGCAGTCACATTTCAAGGTGTTGGGTGGACACTATGACCTGAACTGCAGATATTTTGCAATGTAGTAAACACTTCCAGATTTTTTTTCTCTGCATCGTTGAGACCAAGGGAAGGCTATTTTTTTGGTAGATCTTCTTAGAACTACGGATGGGCACAATGTAAAGCCAGTTCCTTTTTCCACAGTCGTCATTTGCATTCCTTCTTTACGCATTGGAAGCGCACTTTGATGGCAACTGAGTGTTTTGGGTTCGAGAAATGAATTTCAATTGCTGAGAGCATCCCTTGTAAGTTATTATTGGTAAGACCATGGAAAAAGCACTCATAGGTCTGTCGCCGATTTGCTGTCCTCTTTTAACAGTATTTATCAACTGAAATGCATCTGTTTCTACTCACTTTGTTGGGCAGCATTTGAGTAGTGGAGTTATAATCCCATTCAGTGCAAGCAGACGTCGTCACATGTATGGTGGAACTGACGCAGCCACCGCGTTAGGCAGCTTTACTAGCTCCAGTAGAAGTGAATGTTCAGATTTTCATATGTAATTTATTGCACCCTTCTGACGCACTTTTTAAGTAATTTTACCACTTTCTTCGAGCAACTAGGCGTACGCATTGATTGGCCAACAACTTAACATTCGCCTGGATTTTCTTCAATGGTTCAAATTGAAAGGGCATTGTTGTTGCCGTTTCCAGTGGGCATATTTCTTGTTCCACTCGTACTCTCCTCCCCTCCTCGACGTCGTCCGTCATGTGGTTCGTTTTGCTGTTGCTTTTGAATCGGGATGCTTTGGGGACTCCCAAGGATGCAATTCAAAGCTGATATGCGTCTGATTATCAACATATTGACAGTATCGCAGTTTTTTTTCCTTATATAAATTAAGGGAATGCTTCGTGGGAGCGCTTCTCCTCCCTCCTCTGGGATACTATCTCCCAATCGTCGACCCTCAAGCACACCAGCCTTTGAAATGATAGCTAAACTACAGCCTCTCGATTGTTACAACACATGTGTGAATGCAACTGATCTCCTTTATTCTTCCTAACGACACCGTTCCACATTGACTCATAATTAATCTTTTCCGCACTTATTGGACTCATCGTCTCTCAAATTGAATATAATCTATCTAGGCTCTGAAGCCAGGCTTTGGTAATTAGTTTCAACGCATTAACGATTGCTTACACCTGTAACTCGTTTCTCACAACTTCATCCCCTCTTATTTTGGCGTTTAGAAATGAAGCTCAAAACTAAAGGTCCAACAGCGAAACTAGCGTATGAACGTCATTTTCGCAAGTTTCACCAACAATATGGAATTTACCTTCATTGGTGTTTCAGATCCGCCTGAAAACGGACATATGGGCACTGGGAATCATCCTCTACGAGATGCTGCATGGCCATTCACCCTATTGCGGGGCTCAACAGGCCGCCATCCTGACTGCAATCCTCTCACCTTCCGTCCCCATCCGTTTTCCCCATGTTAATAACGCCAAACTCGATAAGGTAAGCGCAAACGCACTCTCCCACCACAAGATCTCTGTTTCTCACGTCGCTTCCATGGGAAAACTGAATTGCCTCACCCCCTCCCCGATGAATTTATCGCGCACACTTGCCTGAAGTTACTTATCTCGCTGATTTGTAGGCCCTACGACTCTGCCTCGTTCGAGATATCAGACAACGCGCCTCCATTGACGATCTCCTGGAAATGTAAATCCCCGACAGTGACAAATTAAACCAAACCCCAAACCAACTGCACGAACTTTTAAAAACGTCCTGTGACATACCAACATCAACGACACTTCTCTCCGCCTCAAATTATGTATGAAGTTTAAAAGCTATTTTGTAAAGAAGTGTGCCATCTAGACTAAACGCTCGGGAGTAGGAGAAATTCATCTCAGGGTGAATTGACAACAAGAAAAAGCATCCCATTGATTCCGAACAGAGTACAACTGAGTTAATCCGCAGAAGTGAGGATCGAACAAATGCAATACAGCCGGGATACCGGTGATGCAGTAGCCGTTAAGGTATTGGAACAAATATAACGATGACTAGCTACAGCGTCGAGTGCATTCCCACTACGCCTTCGGCTTTGCAATGTCGGTAGGGATGTAGCCGAAGTTAGCCTTCAACTGTTCCAAAAATATAAAGGTGAGGACCGTCTGCGGACCAAGACGAATGAAAGCAGGAACAAGACCCTTGAAAAAACCTAGTGGGCCTGTGCGCAACACGTCAAGACCGCAAGCAGCCAGACCCTAAGGAGAAAGAGGGAGTAACAGTCACTAAATCAGACACGCGTAATTAGGGATTTGGGAATAAGCCTACCGAATATTTGCCGGGTGGGGCGTTCATCAATCGCGTCTTCATGACATCAAATGGTTGAGTCATGCAGGTAGCGACACCAGCTGCGCCGATAGAAGCAGAAAAATGAGTGACAGGATTATCATGGAAGAAACCGGTGGCTAGAAGCATCATTTTGAAGGTATCGTAGAAAGCCAACTGTCCGAATGTCATAAACGTGGCTCGAGTTGCAGTCATGGAAACGCCGTTGAACAGAGCGCCAATACCTTCCTCACGAGCTACACGGAAGAGCCCATCGATGGCATGTTTGTAACTAAAGTGGGAGTTCTGTGGCAATACTTTAGCTTGCTGAGCAGAAAACAACGTTTAATATAAGCTCACTTTCTACGCTGAGCCGGAGGAACCTTCACATCATTCTGCATCCTAAAAAAAAAATTAAGCTGAGACGCAAGTTCCACCAGTCGTGTTAATCCGTGAACATTACGAACCTGACATTCACCATATCACCGGGATTACCCACTATACCACCGACGAAGCCAGCGAACATGGCGACACCACCGCTCTCAGCAAAAGTCATCTTTCTTCCAACGGAGTTCTTGTAGGACTCGTAGACGCCAAAACGTGTCATTGAGTACGTGAGTTGTCGGAGAAGGGAGGCGCTGAGACCGTTATAAAGCCCCAGAATACCATCACTCTTAAAGACCCTCACTCCCATTCTGATCATGCCAAACTCTTTTGTTTGTTGAGTTTGGAGATGAACTTTTAACAAATCCAAGGGATGCGTGACAGCAGCAGCCATAGCACTCGCTAGGCCACCGAAGTACCAGTAACCCGCTTTAGCTGGAGGTTTATTGGACATCTCGAAAACGAAGCGCACGAATGAGTGAAACTAGTCCAAGTAAGGCGCATGAGTAGAACACATTTAACTGGAGTAGCTAAACAACAGTACAAGTAAAAGTTGTAGACAAGTGTAAAAATATACTTTGGGCATCACAGACTAAGAAATAATTTGTCTACAGTTAAAGATTGTAATAAAAAAGATAAAAATAAAATAACGATAAAATAATTAGTTATAGTTTTGCATTGCTACAAGCAATGCTTGTGGCAACAACAATAACCGATTTATTTGACTGCTTAAACTGATATCGTAGCTTGCATACTATTATTGTTGATCATGATTAGGATGTTCACTGAAGCGTATTGTTGTGCACTATCAACAGTACTTCGTTATGTGACCGCCTGTTTTCTGGTGATTACATTGCTGAGGGCTGATATCCCTCGTAACTTTTTGGGAACTTATGCATTCTCTTCAATGTGAAGCCTCCTTCGACTTGGTGGGACATCTTGGGGCGCTATAGGCGGATGGACCCGAATTCATTAGGCTCCTCTTTTTCATTGAACCCATGTAGCTAGCCCTACTTAATGTCCTTCCACGTCTTGTGAGAGGTCTAAGGACATTACCTTGACGGAAGTTATAAGACGTTGCTTGTGACCACCTGGTGCCTGTCTGATGTCTAATTGCTCCAAGATCTCTACGCTTTTTTAAAACTGTTCAACTCATTTTTAAATTAGTGCGCAATCTTTAACTCAATATATATCCATTCGACGTTCCCATTTGCTAAAATACCTCTTTTTATTGCTAATGCTAATGTTTTGATGAACATTTACCGAGCACTCCCATGTTTAGCCAATCATTGCTCTAACTCGTGTAATCAGTGTTGTTTAAACTATACATGGCGCCTCGGAGAGGTGCGTCTGTGCGTACGACTCGTTCGAGAAACGCAAGTAATCCTAGGGGTCGTGGAGAGGAATCTGTCCCTCAAACTGACATCTTATCCGAGCAAGAGGAGCGGACGTTTGCTCGGCCGAATGCTATCAGTCCTCACCTGATTTGTGCCATATGTTCCGAGGTTTTTAAGAAACCATATCGGGCGCCCTGTGGTCACAGTTACTGCTATTTTGTAAGCTGCCTATTATATAGTTTTAAGGCAGACTGTTCCATTTGCTGCATAAACAAACACTTTTAGCTTGTACACTACGCTTACGTATAAAGTTCTCTCATTTAGTGCATTTCCAAGTGGCTGCAGACGGCGAAGCACTGTCCGGTTGATCGAAAACCTTTAACTATGTCAAGGATGCACCACGACTTCATCCTCGAAAACATAATTGGTGACTATACCGTACGTTCTCTTGTCCTACTCTCTAGTTTTACTTTTTACTTCATTTTCATTCTCGCTCTTTGTCTGCTTGCCTGAAATGCTATTCACCTAAGGGGTGTTACTCATGTAGTTGCCGTAAATCGAACCTACGGATGTGCAAACACTTTTCCATAATTCCATAATTGACGGTCAAGTTGTTTTGCATTCTCTGGATTATTGAGTTCTCATACTTTTTATCTTCTGTCCCTTGGCTGAACTGCTGCGTTTGCCTTTCCATATTTTCCGATGAATAAAGGCAGACTGCGAAGAAGTTCCGTGTTCGGATGCTAGTATTTGTTTGCACCTCATGTAGTTACTGTTATGCTTGCAAGAGTTCAGCGGTCAAGTTAGCTAAAATTGACTTTGTCCATCCAGGTGGCTTGTCCGTGGCGTTCTTCGGGTTGCGGCTACATTGGTCCATTGTGCAAGTTAGACAGTCACAAGAAGGAGTGTGTAATGAATCCCGATCACCTACCAGAGGCGCTTCGAATTCGTGAAAAAGAGAATATAAAATCGCAGCTCCGCACCATTGGAGCCTCTTCAACCAACCTCCCTTCTCTGACTCCCTCGGATACAGCCACTTCAACTGTGGAGGCTTATTTGGAGGTCACAAGCGGAGAGGAGACAGACGGAGAAGGGGACGGTTCTTTACCTCCAGCACCTCCTCCTAGCCTCCTGATGCGTCTTTTCCAAAAGTCAGACTCTAATAGTCGAGACCTTCTCTGCTCCTTCCTTGCCGAACCTGTCGCTGCTGTGAAACGACCAACACAACCATCAACAACTGGGGGTGGCAAGCGCTCACGAAGAGCGCCTTAATTCCCTTATTCACACGCATACACCTTTATCCATTGCTTTATTCATTGGTAAATAAATGACATTATGTGTAATTGTACATATTATATTCATCACTTAAATAAAGGCATTCACGACGCCTTAGAGACAAATATGCAAAGGGAAGAGGCGGGAAATTAGAAAATATCCGCTGGGAAATTGCATTGGCGTAGACTCGAAATCTGCTGCGAAATAGATATGGTAACGACGACGAATTATCCCGGGAAGGCGAGAATTTCGTCGAGGTAAGGTTTGTGCTTCCCCAAAGGGTAGTAAGAAATTATGAAAATTCCCATTCGAAGACTGTATGGAATCACACTAAAAACAGAGGAATGGACGGCGAAGGTTGGTACTGATTAGATGAGGACTTGGGTGCAAAGCAGTCAAGTGGCATCTTACCGGTTTTCGATGAGGTCGCGGAATTCAGGTCTCGCCTTCAACCAGTCACGATATTGGTCGTTGGAGATCACAACACCGCCCTTTTCTTGGGCGTACTGCAGGATGACGCTGAAGTGAGGGTTAGCCAGGAAGGATTTATGGACAGTGGGTCTTCATAGTTTGTTAAATTGAATAATAATGTGGAAAAGGTGGACCTCTAACGATATCCATCGCAGGTAGATTGCACTTCTAATTAATTTACAAGTGGTAGTGAACAATTAGTGGAAGGAAAAAGAATAATCATTTCATAGGCCAAAATACTGGCATTTCGTCTACGCAAACGAGTCCAAAAATAAAGCTTGAGGAGGACAAAACAAGTAGTGGGGTAATTACGGCCGATAGCAAATGGCACAAAGATTTGGGATCCTGACTTATACCAAATGGGAGAATGTTAGTATTGAATTGCTGAAATGAGAAGCTCAAATACTGTGAGGCGATAGAGCATACCAGACCCCGAAATACAACAGTGCAGTAGCTACAAAGGATTTAGAGAGATTGAGACCTTTCAACAGAATGCAAACATTATACAGCGAAATGAAACAAATGAAACTACCTCTTCCTCTTTACCTGTCGTCATCAGTCTTTTGGGGTCGGACGCCCCGATCAAGACGTCGAACTGGTGTAAAGACGAAGTACTTAGCAAGCTCTGCCGGCGAAAAGAGTGCAGCACAAGGTGTCTGTCCATCGCTGGGCAGCACCACCGCTATCTCCTCGTGGCCGCGTTGCACAAAGTAGTTGATAACGCAGCGCAGATTTGATACATTGAAATTAGAACTGAATAGAATGTGACGCGCTTGAGTGCGACAATAATGACAGGCTTACACATAGACAGAGAAAAGACCTCACTTAGATGACTCCCCATGAGCGACATTAGCACCATCTATCACGATGGGACGAAGGCGTCTGACCTCTGGTCCGAGAGCAGTGGAGAGGAAAAAAGGGACTGCTTAGCGCAAAACAACTGATATCGCACAACACGCCTAAATGTGCTTGTGTCAAGATAAAATCGAAATAGCAGATTTCGATAGATTTCGCAGCGGTGAGTTAATGCCTAACAATTAATACAACAATTTTGTGAGTTGAAAGAAGCTTTAGCGGAATTCGAGTGAGCTTATTCTAAACTAGACCCACGAAGTCAACAAAATTGAGGTACGGCTTCGAAATAAAAAAAGACAGAGGTGAGTATTTGCCGAGCCTAAGTCTATTCTCTACCGTGACACAAAAGTGAATCTAATGATGGGGCGTAGAATGGTTCAGCGAACATGCATCGTCCCAAAAAACCAAACAGCAAATAGTGTCTGTTCAGTGACCAAAAGGTGAGAGCAGTTTAACGCAATGCTAATGACAGGCAGACGATGGTACAATTTACCAAAGTAGACTTCGAAACTCCTTCAATCACCGTATTGTTGATAGAGTCATCTAATTTAATTATGTCCTCAACCCACTCAAAACGTGCATAAGCTTTTAAAAGCACCCAACTACCTAATAGGTCTTCAAGGTTAGGCGCGTTTTCGATTGAGTCAATATAAAAATTAGGTTCTAGGAGCTAATTTTGTCATGGATAATGAATAGCAATGTTGTCAAAGTGGCAATTTAACTAAATCGAAATTCCATAGATTTATAGTCACATAGACAAAAGAGAAAAACTCGCGATAAGGAAACGGTAAAAAAAGATTTCGTTATGCACAACATTTTCCTTAATGTAAATAATACTCGAGCTTTAAACCATTCTACTCACAACTAAAAGTACAATTGAGTGGTTTGATAAGCGCATCCCTAGGACTACGTATCAACTGTTACGGTCAACCTTGTCATCACATTAGTGGATTTAAAAGAGGGAAGACAAGATTTACAAGCATTACTTCCTGATAAACAGTCGTGGAGAAGTGCAACTCGATTTCTTAAAGCGTAAGGCATAATCTGCACTATGATAATAAATTATTGATTAATTCATCAAAAAGGCAATGCAAGGAGTGGTATTCCACATCGAACTTACCTTGAAATGGTGTGTCAAGTTGATCACAACTCTGAGCACGGTTACGGATCCGTGATCGTGAAGCGGATTTGGCAGCTGAAGAGAAAGTTGTAATTATAGTAAGCAAATGTTCACACTCTCCACACAATCCGCATAAATCAAAGTTGAGCAAACCTCCACGATGGATACGAAAGTTTAGTACTAGTGCCGAAGGCATTATTGGAACATATCGCTGCTATCACTAACATCGACTACTTAAGTTAGCAACAATTGCCGATAACGAATTTTCGCATGCACACACGAGACCCAGCTCTAGACAATTTTTTCTGCTTTTCAAATGATCAAAATGGGAAAGAGGACTTCAAACTGCCGATCAGAAACTTGCCTTTCCGAGATCCTGATGAGGGTGGTAGGGGAATTCCAACCATATTTGCAAGACTATTGTCAACTACCCGGCCTACAATTGCGTTCGCCGCCTTTTGCTGGTTTTTCTGGTTTTTCTGTTTTTGGGTTTTTTTCCTGGTTAGACTGTTCCGTCGGAGCTCTGACGCCTTTCCATTAGTAGCATCAGTACTATCAGAGTGTATGGCTAAACATCCGTTATGCATTACACCACAGTAGGTTAACTTAACCAATTCATTTATGAGAACGGCAAGTTTTTAAGTCACACTAGGGATGGCTGCTCACATGATGTTAACGCAGTCACTCTACATGATAGCGGTAAACGAAGGTAAAGGCTATGGTTAAGAGCAGCTATGCGGAAGATGAGGCAGCGCTAAAGGAACGCAAGGACTACTTACTAGGAGTTGCATTCACTGAACAGGTTGAGGGAATTTGTGACACTGGATTTGTCAAAACTGAGGAAGTAAAGGATGTTAGTCGAGGACAACCTAAAAGTAAATGCTGACGATTTTTCATCCAACTGATAACTCACACTTTTTCTGTCTGAACACTTCAACGAAACCAAGTTTGTTGAGCCCATTTGATTCTTGTATTGCAGAATCCTGGGTATTCATAAGACTTTCAAGTTCCACAACGAGATCGTGGACAATAGAGTGAAGTTCGCCACTACTATCATCTATTTGCTTGATGTCAATGTCATGCAAGCGGCACAACTTAATCAGGTTTTCATCTACTAAGGGATCACAGGAGGGCTTTGAGAGCTGGATCTTTGAGAGCGCTTTCAAGATTGTTGACACAGCTACCTCGGAGCCACGAAAAACCAAATGAGTACAATTGACATCAGTGACTATCAACTTGTAGCTCCTCGCAAGGTAACGCCGGATCGTAGGAATAGTAAAAAGATTCAGAAGCTTAACAGGCAATTCGGACTCGACCTTCGATTCAGGACCGATAAAAAGGAGGGAAAGATTTTGTGCAGCTTCCAATTCTGATGCTAAATTTGTCCTGATTACTACTTCGTTGGCGGAACCCGGCTCTGTCATAATCCTAACATCATATACCAGTTCAATATAACTGCGCAACTCGTCGATGTTCACAAAGTCAGGCGGGATTTTCACTGTTGTTCTATACATTTTATTGTCCAGCCAGCAAAAAGTATAAATTCCGAACAGTTTACACTCTCCCGGCAATCCAAACACTTCTGATGCAAAATACGAAATCCCAGTTATGAATTAAAGACAAAACGCGCAATGGCCTAGAGAATCGCACCAATAGCACTAGAAATGAACTAGTAGTTGTGAGGTCAGTTTGCTGCGAGGCAAATTCTACACCGATTTTACCCCAGTTACAATGTACAACAGACTTTGAGCAGGACAGTCCAAACCTAAACATTAACATTCACGCACTCTAAGATTTCACCTCACCGAAACCCCTGCCCTCTGGTTTCACCCAGTCCTCGAAATCATATTAGCGGGCACAAGAAGCCTCACAACGAACCAACACAGCATGCGACTTACACCCAAGCTGGCAAATTCGATCTCCAATCCACACTTAGATTCAAGAAATTGTAAGGTGAGACTCATCTTAGCCCATCAAATTACTCAAGAATAACAAAGTCCAACAACAAACAAATGAAAATGCGCAGGGGAGACAGTTGAAAGATGTTATCACAAACCAGAGTGGGGAAGATGGAGAGAGGCAATGGCCATACTACTGGCTGCGTAGCCTCTGTTGCCGTCTTGTCCTACGTATTACTTGTGATCGTAGACCAGAACGCAGAGACGAAGGGAAGATTGATCGACCCAGTGTACTTCCAGAATTTGCCAAACGGTGGGATTTCTTGATTCCGGAATGCGGAACTCCGTTTAGCCTAGTTCTCGGCCCGAGTTTCTATATAATCAAACAGAAAGAGCATTGAAACAGATGATAGGAAGGAGGATTTGACAAATCAAGCCAAATTAATATCTTCACCTCTTCTTTTTTGTTGATAACGGCAATTGGTGTGACTGAAGACTCTTTTTCAGCTAAAATGCAAAAAAAAATACCAGACATAATCGAAAACAGAGAATGGAAATGCCTAAATCCCCTAGTGGGAAGGAGCATGATGGCATCGAAAAACAAAGATACTCATTAGTTAGTGAACGGGCAGTTAGGGAGACGTACAATACAACAAGCCAACATCATCTCGTGTAAACAAAAATGTTGGAAATGAGAATCAACAATGTTCGTATCAAAACGTAGGAATAAAAATAATCATTCTGTCCTACCACTAACATTAAAAGTGAGAATGGGTAAAACATTACGTAAATGCTCCCTCCGTCTCGCGATGCCAGGAACAGGTGACGACAGTGAAGATGCTGGTGAGGAGGTCAACGATGGCACCTCTAATTGCTTCGTCTTGTCCTCGTCGCTTCTCATATTCTTAAAAAGAATTAATTGAGATCAATCCGATAGAAAACGGACCCTCCAGTACCGACACTTAAGTCGCCACAGTGGCAATTGATGGAAATGAAAGCACAACGCATGAGAAGGCGAAGAGAATGGCAGAAAGACCCGCGCTCAACTACCAAATGGTAAAGCGCCCAAGACCCATGGATATTAGTGCAGAAACGGAGTTAAGAGTCACATCAAAGCACTTCAAGAACAACGGGGACAAGAAAGATTACAAGGAACCACAGCGAAGTCAGCTCATAAGGATGCGCTCGTCCAAAGATCTATTGAAATAGACCAAATAGTGTAAGCCCGAAGACAAAAGAGGTTTTCGTGAACTACATCAAATTTAAAAACAACGGGACAGATAACGAAACTCTAGCCAGTAAAGCCACCTTGACCAGTCCACCATGCAGCATCATGGAAGTTGATGTCTTCGAAACAATCCCTTCCTCACATAAACCGTAGCATTAATTGGAGTAAACGAAAACCTTCAAAAAAGTTGCAGCAGTTGATTCAATGAGAACTGATTTCAAAAAAGTAACTTAGCCCGTTGACAGCGCCACTTAACACGATGGTAACAGTGCATCCTGCAAAGTCACTACAACCATGCCAGAAGAGAGTTGATTAGGAGATCCAGAGGTCATCCATCCTTTTGCTGATCCTAAATCCAGCCAATGAGGACAAACGCTCGTAACCACAGTTACCGGAGAAGTGGCTTCTGGGATGATGGAACACATGAGTGGCTTGATTTAACACTGACGCCAAAGCAGCTTTAGCCGCGTAGCAATAGAGGAATACGCAAATTGACTATGTAAAATTGGTGTTGATAACAATAAAGATGATCAGCCACAGGACTGTGGAAATAGGCGTTTTCAAATGCATCAGGCGATCAAAGTTGTAAGAAGGACTAGAATTAGAGCAACACCTCCACAACAGTGGAAGGCTAATCATTAACAATCGCTAACATTCGGACAGAACAATGATTGATACAGTGAAAAATGAACTTCATGTAAACAATTTCTGAAACAGTCAATCAAGCTTTAATTATAACATCGAAATCGACCAAAGTTTGCGAAAACAACCACCAGAATCACGATGATAGCAAAGCCTACTAAAAGAGAGAATGGTGCCCTAACTACAACCAGTTAGGCTGAAATACCAACAACGAAACAATCAAAATCTATCCAAATTTCCAGCACAAAAAGTGGCGAAAAGGGAGTAGCATCTTCTAAACTAGTTCAAGTCAAGTTCGGGCTAAAGAGAGCCAGAATGAAGAATGCAGCTACACCATGGAACTTACAGATTGCCCTGAAGGAGAATTAGCTCCAGCCTCACAGAAGGCGGTGTTAAGCGGGTGAGATACGATTGAGGCTGTTTTGCGAGCTACGAAGACAGGCGCCTTGTGAGGCGTATTATTTGAGGCGATGACAGTTGAGGCAAGGTTTGAAGCCGTTGCTGGAACAGCAGTGCTGGTGGACTGAGAAAGTTGTTTGCCGGCACTGCCGATCACAGAATTCGGATGGCCAGTAGAAAAAACCCTTCGGTTGGGAGGGTCAGCAAACCAGGCCAGCTTCTCTGGTAGGCAGGGCGTCCCTACATAGCAAAAAAAGAGGTTAATTCATCGATATCGTGTTCATAACCTGCACAAAACAGGGAATTAGGTGAGAACACTGTTCAACCCAAAATTAGATAGGAAATTTTGCAAGACGCAATACTTGACGCCATAGCAGGGCGCAACTACACGCATCCATTAGTCAAAATTCCTACCGAGCGTCTCCGCACTACACCACCCTCCAGCAAGCATGACTCCTCTCCAACCAATGCGCCAAACCAGAACTTTTGCACATCTACTCGAGCCCACAACCTACCTCAAATACACCGCCGTACGGTGACGCCACCTTCAGTCGTTCGGCGTCAGGGCATTGGATCAGTTCCCACCTTGACAATTCTGACACACATCTACCAGCTACGATCCTGCTGATTGCGCCTCCACTTCCACCCCGTAACCACAAACTGTGATAGCGAATAACCACTAATACTGCCGATTTTATACAAACCGATTCTTTCCAAGTACTACTTTAAATAAATAATAGCTGCTTGCAGTTTAATTCTTTTAACTATAACTTAGGCGTCACAGTCCCCGTGCCCCTAATATGAGAAATTTTAAAACTGAGGAGCTCAAATACTCTGAATAATCCTGCTCGACGATCATCATTTACACATTGTCATTCCACTCGGATTGTTTCCTAGTTGCTCTCGAGAGAACACAATGACCTTCACCTCGACGACGCATACATGTCTGAAGCTATGACACTGATCACTTTATTTGCGAATACTGCAATGCTATCCACTTAGGTCTCTCACGGTCTCACCCCTGCAATGAGACTAACTTCCGCAGGGCACTGTAAGGTTACAATAAATTATCCTACACATTCGCATGCATTGAAAAATAATCGGACATTCTGCCGGTGATAGAGCAGCGGGTTACCCCTGCCACTTTCCATTCACTTCCACTAATTTTTGGGAGACTTGTCACAGCGTCGAAAGTATAGAATGCATCCAATGCGAACATTTCAAGTTCAAGTTTGCGTCTTTTAGACGCAAATTACCTCTACTACGGCAAAAAGGCAAAACTTTCTAATCAAGCCCAATCGAAGTCCACATTTTCTGATTGTATGTTATAATCCGCATTGAAGATGAAAAACACAACGACAGGTATTTAAAAGGAAGGGACAAGGTATCCAAAAGACTCACCGTAGAAACAGAGGAAGTCCACAAAATCGTGAGTGTCTACAGGAAGACCCTGAGAGTCCTGCCACAACGCGGGGGGTAGAGCTGAGGTGGATGGTGGCTGTGAAGGCGGTGGCGGAGTACGTGTTCCAATTAGCTGACCAACCTTAGGCGGAGTCAAGCGGTTAGTTGCTGTGGCGGAGACGACTGAGTGAAAATGAAGAAGAGAAGGACATCAATACGCGCGCTAACTTAAGCAACCTTCATCCAGAAGTAATAATCGTGAACAGATGACTAGACAGTATTAAATTTGTAAAGCATTTCTTTTGTTGTAAGCCGTAAATAAGTGAGAGGTGATGAAAGTAGTCATTTAAGATCATAAAGTGAGGCTTGAGATACAGTAAGTAGCGTAACAGAATAAAACTTTTCCCACTAAAAGAGGCATTCTTTCAGATCCCCCCTGCTTGAGCCATCTCTACCAAATAGAGCATCACAACCATGGTTATTTAGTCACTCCAGCTCGCTCTTAAGCAACGGCTTTTATCATTGCAATTTAATCATCCATCTGCCTCATCAACCGTAAATCCAGTCCATTAAAGAACATGCGGTATTGATGAACCATCAACCCAACCTTTCCAATGCACCCACCTTGGAGGTCGACACAAAGGGGCCTTTGTCAAGTTCCAGGACGTGTGCGGTGCGGCCTAAGACGACATGCCTTTTTACTGACAATCTGGCAAATCAAAGCGCCAGTGTAATCCAAGAAATGCATCTCTTTCATGAGTCAAAACGATTTTCACATTATTGAAATTTGCATTACAATTGGATCAAACGACACCAATGCTATTTTGCACAGCGGTTTTGATGGAAAATTGCATAAAATACATTTAGGTAAAAAATTAGTTGATTTAGTAAAACAATAGACGACTAATAAAAGCAAAAAATGAATTGCTTCATTAAATTCTTTGCAACTGCCATCTAGAAGCTAAACGAGTTGGTTAGGGACGAAGTTTCACCGTGAGAGAGAGAAAGAGAACTACACAAAACAGTAAAGCAATCTACTGATTGAGATCACATCAAGTTGAAGAAAAAGAAAGTGCATTACACTAGTAAATTGACTCGATAAAAGCGAGGCTCCATTCAGTGAGGTGGCTTATTTAACCAATCTGCCAATGGAACAAATTGCTCAACTTTGGGGATCCATTTCTGGTACTCCAATACTGGGACCAACTGTCTTGCCCCAGTATAAGTTATCATGAGTTATTAGGAACTAACATTAGTGCAAATTGTTCCGCTGAAAGATTAGGAAAACTCGGAGTCTTCGTGGGTATTGGCGTAAATGCTACCCCATAGAACCAAAGCATGAAAAGTTAAAATAGTTTGCGAGCTCAATGAGGTGATTAAAATACGATTTCCCAAAGTGGTTATTTAAAATTTTTTTAGCTTTCTCATCGATAGTCCAAAATTCTTTCATACAATGACTGAACTAAAGGATCCTCCCAACTCCTACAATACTGCAGGAAGTAAACAGAACAGTGAGCAGCGACATACTTTGTGAGACGAATTCACCATCGTCATCCTCAACTAGTACCTCAAAAACATCCTCCTCTTTCGCCACTTCATGCTCTACCTTCATGGGCACCGCATTCCCACAGCCTCGAAAACCGCGTCTTCCACTGCCATCCCGCTTAAGGGATCTATGAAATCAACGTATAGATGTAAGGAAATTATAGGCAGAAATAGATACGAATAGGTCAAAATATAAGCAGCCAAATTGATAGATCGGAGGATAATGGATAAAAATAGGAATGAAGGCATGTAAAATCGTGTAAATTGGACTGTAGTATTCAGAAATGATTTGACAACACCGAATAACTGGTTAAGAACACGTTAGGTTGAGGTATGTGGGCGAATAATATATGAAAGCAGATAATTGATGGAGGAAGGGGAAATAAAAGAACGAGTATGATAGTGGGATAGCATTGGCAATGATGGGAGCAACAACAAAAACTCACCGAGCAGCGGTTCGTGCGCGTGGAACGATGTTCTTAGGCCGCGGTTTGGCGGTGGCAGCAGCACGAGCAAGACTGCGTCGCACAGCAGCAGATGTGAGAGAGAGAAGGGCAAAGGAGCGAGAATAGGAAGAGGTGAGAAGGAATTGGTGCGATAGACTGCCCGGCAGAGGTCGCGACTTCCGCGGATGGGGGTTTGTTGGAATACCTCCCTCAACCTTCTGCGGAGGGAAGGACGGACGGAGTTAGTAGGATTGTGTTTCTATCTAATAAAAATTCGATACTCAGCTTGACAGAAATTAGCCAATGGACTGACACTACCTTTCATTGCAACTGGACGAAGGACGTAGAAATCCAAATTTACCAATAAATATATGGAAGCTAAATCACTATAATTACTATGCAACAAAACATCAAAAGTAATTGAATAGAAAAAAACAATTCATTTTACATTATATGCGATAAACAATTAAACTTTCTTGATGTCTCGTCAATTCCAATCATAGAAGGAAAGTGAAACAGAGATTATCCAAAGGACGAAAGTTATGACGCCTTGTTAGTAAGTGCGCTAAGCATTCCTGTTTTCGAAAGGAGGCGATAAAGCAAGATTATCGAGCACCATATAAACACGGCAAGAGAACCAAAAGTTTTAACTTTTAATGATGATGATACCACAGGGATGTGCACATTCATTGGGTGCTCCTAGCCCCATTGTCTATGGTCCACAACGCGACGGCCCCTGAAAAGAACTTGTAAATAAAATTAATCAAAAGATACGATAGCATACCCTAGTCTTCTCTGACCTCATCGACCCAGTAATTGCTGGCGCCACCGCCTTCCTCATCTTCTTTGCTTGCTTAGATCGACTGTATTGATGCCCGGAGTGATGTGAGGGAGTCAGATGCTGATCACGCAGAGAGTCGTAGATGGCCTTTCGAAGATCCCGTTCCTCTTTCCACGGGATGCCAACAAGGTCGTTCTACCATATGATCATTGTTTCGGAGGAAAGGACATTCAACTTACCACATTGTTACGAGCTGCAGAAACGTGACGCCTACGCCGGCGTTGAGCGATAGAGAGTTCTCGCTGACTGCGCGACATCTCTTTCCCACCATAAACATAAAAACTATATCATTAAATAAGAGAGACTCGGACAACATATTAATTTAAATGAACAATCAGAAGTTATCGGAGAACAAAGTTCTAGATTATCAATGTCGAAAGCGCAGCTATTAACCAATCAGTCGGGAACCTCAGCCTAAATAAGTGCCATATCAAACTCACAAAATTCCAACACCCTATATAATAAATGAAGTCCAGACGTTCAAAAGAAAGAACCCTCCTACGTATATTGTTTATTAGTGAGCCAAGTAATAAAAACAGATATAATGGGAACCAATAACAGAAAAAAGGTGGAAAAACAACAACGACAATCAACAAAAATGCTAATGAGTCATTCGCTTTTGAATAACCAACGCATTTGGAGCTGCTAACAGCTAGGAGAATCACCAAGAGTTTGCAGCTGTTATCACAAAAATTACTAGGGACTGTAATGTACTAAAAAGAAATTTGACGTTTTAGAAATCAAGTTTTGGGAAACCACGTCGATCAGAAGCGGTTGGTTGATCAAAAAGGAACAAAGCTCTAGCAAAGAGAGCCTTGAGATCTTCTGAGCCTAGACTGTCCATTGCTGCGGTCCATTCAGAAAAATCGATTGCATCAATGGAAGGACCATCGTTTGAGGTACCCTAGGTAATGGGAAGGACACAGATGATGGATGGAGATTGTCGTTATTTCGGACAAACGATAAGTGAGAGCAATGCTTGAAAGAAGCCATTACTAATTTCATCAAAACATTGAAGAGCTATAGCACAGCGAACTTTAAAGAATATTGCTATACTTGCAAAAGCCCAGGGTGACTAAGTTGACGCTTGGAGCTAAACAGGTAGCAGGACCCACTAGCCATTTGCTTGGAAAACAAATACTTAAATATGGGAGTAAAAAATGTAATCGTACAAAAAATGAACCAAAAAGTGGGAAAAATGCGAGGCATAGCCCCAAAGAAAGCAGCACATAAGTCCCAAGCACGAACGCAACAGTTCAGTTCGTCACACAATGTAGCAGCAAAATATTGCACACAGCTGTGCCCCTATCAGCACGTCTAATGCACTCATCGGAGCGCTACCTGCCCAGACAAGTGCGAAACAAGAATCTGATAATAAACTTATTATTACAAGCAACAACCATGACAGAATAGAAACGCCAACACATGCTTGACCAATGCTCATCGAAGTGCCAAACCTACACTGGTTTCTTTAAAGAATGACCGCATCTTATCAATATCTTCCTTTGAACTTCCGTTCATTACGAGTTTTGATGGCCTTAATGTGAAAGAAAACCACAGGCGAACCACAAAAACTGATCCCAACACGAACAGTGGCTCCTTTTGAACCACGGCTTCTTACCTAGACTATATAAAACAATATGTGCTTGAGCGCTTTAAAGCTATTACAAAGTCAAACATTTTACTATTTTATCATCGATGTCCTTAAAAGGAAAAACCATAATTTTGGTGTTAATGACCCCAATAATTTTTAAGCTTGTAATAAAGCTGTTCGTTAGGCCCCAGCCTCTTACATAGCCATTTCGTTAGGACCCATTTAGTGAACTATAAATTTAAATTAAAGAATGCTAGACTCCTTATTAGGCAGAATAGTACACTGAGTTAAGGTGATCATAAGTATTCTCGGCGTAGAAGAGGAGCCGGGGCTTATAAGGCATTCAGGTGTTCACATGGAGAAATTATTACAGTGGTTTGATCACCTAAATAATTTTATTTTGTCGCACACATGCACTTGCAAATTTCTCGAAGAAGTGATTAAGTCGTTCTTCAGCTTTCCAATGACTAGATGATGTCTGGCGGTCACTCTGGGATCCGTCTGAGTCCCATGCGCGCAGGCTTTGTACACTCAGACCCACTCTCTTCATTCTTCCTGTAGTACATGTTTCCAGCCCTACCTAATGTTCTCTTTTACTCGGTGGGAGGTCTCGGAACACTACACCTGCCCACACTATAAATAATCAGACTCGACTTCTGTCGGTATTTCACCATCAAGACACATCGGCACACAAATACAAATGCTCCATCCGTCATTATCTGCACGCATAATTTATGGCTTAGTCTGCGACCCTAGCCTACCTCTCCCGAATCTTATAAGTACCCGGCCCACAAGTCGACTACGTTATAGTCGATTCAATGCAAAAAATAACAATCCCTCACCCGTGCATAACGTTATTCTTGACAGCTGTTTGTGCACTTTTGATGTAAAATATGTCAAGACACAATGGATACAGTATACCAACTCAGCGTCCCACCAACCAAGCCATCGAAAGTCCCCGACTGGGTAGCTTCGAGTTTCAACTTATCTGCTCTGGTTAAACCGCCTTAGATGCGCATCCGAACATCCAGTCACGTCCACCACCACTCCCATCAATGATCGGAAATAGTAGAGAAAACCGGACAGCTGACTCGAGTGCCATCCATGGATTCTGAGAGCTTCTCAAAGGTAATTCCATACCCCGAATCAGCAGCGGAATTCTCACGAGACGCATCGCCCGGCACCCTAGCAAGGCGTAACCACATACGCTACCGCGCAGCACAGTGACCCAGTGTATCACTTCACCTCGATTCAACTCACTTCAACTCAACCTACTTCAGACACCACCTATCTGAACATTCATTAGTCAAAATTCCTACCGAGCGTCTCCGCACTACACCACCCTCCAGCAAGCATGACTCCTCTCCAACCAATGCGCCAAACCAGAACTTTTGCACATCTACTCGAGCCCACAACCTACCTCAAATACACCGCCGTACGGTGACGCCACCTTCAGTCGTTCGGCGTCAGGGCATTGGATCAGTTCCCACCTTGACAATTCTGACACACATCTACCAGCTACGATCCTGCTGATTGCGCCTCCACTTCCACCCCGTAACCACAAACTGTGATAGCGAATAACCACTAATGCTGGACATCTCCAACACATTATCCCCATTAACTAAGAGCTTTCCGGTCAAAAATGAAATCGATTGAGACTTCAGATACCAGAGCGGTAAAGCTGGTGCTATAGGACAATGGTCAACGTTTACCTATGGTCGTTTCTGTTGCTAACCTTTAGGTGATCGCACTGTCTTCGCTGAGTGGATTGACCTCTCAAAACCCTCCACTTCGTTTAATTTCCTCGAACGTATCCATTTAGCTAAAGTACTGTCTTTTGAATCATGGCATCCGGCAGAGCGAAGATAAAAAGGACAAATTAAAAAAGAAGCCTGGAAATGTCTCGACAATGGAGCAGAGTGTGACCGCTAATAACACATCAATGAAGCATAGAATAACGTTCTGGAGGGAGGAGTCGACTCAAAACGGTAAACAACCAGAGCTGTTAGCAGGCTTTGAAAGAAGACGAACGACTTTGGCGAATGAAGTTGGATTGTTGGAAAGGAGGGCGGAAATGCACACAAATGTTACAGTTAGCAGATTAGGGCTGCTCTCAAATTAAGAGCATTTCGAGGTAAGAATAGAGTACAGGTGCGCGCAATGACAGCGAATGCAACTTCTCATGACTATTCTTATGACAACGCCTATGTTATACTGGTATATAATTTAAACTTGAACTCTCATATTTGAAAGATAATGCTTTTACACAAGTTTTCATCTCATTGCATTCATGGTCGTATGCGTCTTACCCATAGAGAAAGCAGTAAATCTAATAAAAAGAAATATATACCAAAGAGACATATACTTCAAAGCCATAAAGGAGTGGAGAACAACGCCGAAAATGTAAAATAAAGTTTAGATTTGACCATTGTCGAGCATCCTTATAGAGTACTCTTCACGGAAGTAACAAGGGACCTTTGATTCCACTTCTCAAACAGCTTTTAATACCTTTCTCGATTGTTATTCCAGAAGAATAGCAGATAGACGACGTCCAAATAAGGCAAAAGCCACATGAGGTGTCACGAATGCGCCTTAAAAATGTATGTAGTAGACATCTCACTGCTGATAAGGCAAAATAAAACATTTAGAGAGGAACGCCTTATGGCAAGCATTGACCTGTTTGGACACCAAAGGAATTACTTGTAGTGTGGTGACTGTCAATGTTGTTTTTATTACTACTAATACTACTACTACTGTTGAGAGTCAATGTTGCGCTGGTCTGCAGCGGGCATGCGTGGCATTAGGCAGGAGGCCGAGTCTTGGCAAAATAGATGCGTGGATGGATTGCAGCTTGCCGATGGTGCTGCCACTGCCTCTCTTGGTCTCCATCACTGCATCAGCGACAAAGGCGGCGCCAATGAAGTAATAAACCGTTGGGTTGTCGAAATCGACCTGGAGTCGTATGAATTGTCCATGAGGCCTACCACCGCATCGTCACAGATGGAGGAAGATAAGGGGAGGGTGGGTACAAGCAATGCTGGAATGAAGTTCAAAAACTATACTCATTTTCTTATATTTCCAATCCGGATTAGTCAGGGATACGCATGGGTGATTAACAGTACATAACATCGATGTCTTGGGACTCTTTGATGGCTATTTATGGACCAATGTTAAGGTCGCTCGACTCATCAGTGCTCTCAAGGTTAACCAAAGTGCTCCTATTTAATGGCTTATTTTATATGTTAGGAGACGTAACATCGATGGAATGAATTCTTGAAAGAAAGCATACCGCCGCGTTCACCGTAAAAGCAAGGTTTCAAACAATGATTGAAACTCAAAGGACTGGTTCTTCAGCTGAGTAAATGTCTAGTACCATAGTAGTTCAGTATTCCATTAGTCGGCCGCCCTCTGAGTCACGGCACCAAAGTCTTCGCCTTCTAATAAGTCACTACTTTACCTGCCCATCTCGGTATTGATGCTAGTATTAGACGAAATCATTTTGAAAAGCGATTCTGAGGAAGTCATTATATTTGTTTTTTTAATATTTTTAAACGTAAGACTACGGATGGAGTTGAAACAAGATGTGAGGAATGTAAGCCCTTGTAACAGAGCAATGAAGGGCAGGATTGCAGATAGCAAGTTAAGAAAATATGAAAAATGGTCCCACCAAAATGGGTATTAACGAAGCCGAAGTAGGAAGCGGAAAAAAAACTCAGATAACCACTTAACAGATAGTTGGGAGGGTGAGCTCACCTACTAAGCCATCGAGCCGTTCATTCACTCCACCACTCTCACATGATCATTCACTCACTAATTCACTGGAAAAAAATAAACACGACTCAGAGCATAAGAGACATTTCATCCGGCATAGATTTTTACCTTATAGCCATAGGCTACCGACCAAATAATAATCACTCACCTCTGCGATCGTAAACTAGTCAACTTGGCGGCATCAGACACGTCGGTGGGGTGTGAAGTCAGCCTTGTACCGGGCGGGGTCTGAGGAAGGCTGCCGAGTGTCTGCGCGGGAAGGCGAGAGGGCCGCAGAGTTCTGCCGTTGATTGGTTGACGCGTGGGCAGCATGGGATTTCGCCTTCGAAAATGGATGCATAGCCATCTCATGTTAGGATGGAAACACACTTAAGCGAACCATTAGAATCAAAACACTGGAGTGGCAGTAAAAATAGACTGGCTCAGAATCTTGACCTCTTTATGTTGTGGAGAGATGGAGAGGATAAATGAATAGGGATTAAGAAAGGAGGGTGTCGTTTGAGTGGAGAAAACCTTCACTATCTGATGCCAAACGTTAGATGCATCATTGGCCATAACTGCTTGCCGTAATAGGAAGCGGAGACTCGATTCAAGAGGTAATAAGAAACAGCTTTTCGAGTCAATAGCAAAAAGAGACACATTCCATGTAAATAAACCATTAACTAATGCAGCGTGAAATCGCCAGGCGATTACAGAATTACATTTCAAAGTAACGAAATCGGTAAATCTGTATATCAATCGACACTAAGAGCACATCGGCTAAACAGCACCCCAAGGTGGAAGTGCGCCTTTGGAATGAAGATCACAAATTAGTTGACGGAGGTTCCAAGAACTACATTAGGACGCATCAGTGGCATCAACATGCCATGACGTAAATTTAACACATCGGCATCTGGGTGCCAGAGGTATGTTCAAGACAAGTAGTTAGAATAGAGGTAGTGAAGAAAAACAATGGTGTGACGAAAGGCACGGATGACAATTGTTCAATCAGAGTTCGGCCGTAAAGCATTATGATAGTGAAACTTTTTGGCATTCAGCGTCTTATGACAGGTGATTACGAAACATCTCATGCACTGTCATCCTAAATCGGTAATTAAGTAGACTATGTTTCTGGCCTGATAGCTTTCCATGCCTGTAAGATTAAAGAATTGTATAGAATCATGTCTAAATGCGAAACTCGGAGAGACTTGAATTTGAAATGGAAGAAAAAGACAAGGAATTTGTCTTCATTTTGGATACCTTGTGCATGAATCATGAAAAGTGTGAAGTTGAATTAGTAAACAATGGCATAAGTAGTGGGTAATCGAATAATTATTAAACGAATCAAGATGCGAGAGAGACGTTGATGTTAAGTCACCTCATAACAACAATAAGTGCTCAAACATTTTGAAGGCTTAAAAGTCCTAAAAAGTTTCGCTAACCTCTTTTTAAGGGCATGCATACTTAAAATTTAGTATTTGGTGAGACGTATTAATTGTAAAAACTAGTTGGAAGGCACCGCTTAAATCCCCTTAACAAGGTTCAATGATAAAGAAGACCCACCTTACGGAAGGTTGACCACTGCTGAGAGTGCGAATGCGACCGCCACTACGACCATAGCCGCTCAAGCCTTGGCAAGAGAGGGGCACGTAAGGCGTGTAGCTAAGATAGTTGGCTGAGCGAGACACCGACTGAAACGCTGATGAAGTAGCAATAACGGAATCAGTGGCAGAGGATGTATCTTCGATGACGGAGGCTACGGTCGTTCCCCTCGCCATCAATCGATGCACAGAAGAGCAATCATCAACCGACGGCAGTGAAATGGGACCCAGGTTGGCGTAACTAAGGGGAAAAGCGGAACCTCACTGCTATTTTGCTTAAAAGTTTTCCCAAATTCTTCAATTATAGACTCATGCATTTAATTACTTTTCTGAGACCAAATCACATCCTGTATAACAGAGTAAAAAAACTCAAAATATTTGAAAGAGACTTGTTGAAGAACACCAGCCTTGTGATAAGATGGTAATTGCTACTCCTTCAATGTGCTTCAGTTATCAAAAGTCGAACACAAATCTGCCAAATCCTAGCACTGAAAAGTTTCAAACTGGGTGAAACCTCTATCGGCTTACTATCGAGATGGTGGAGGGGCCGGAGGAGAGGAAGCCAGTGGTGGTGAACTGTGGCTCAGACACTCTGACGATGCGTCTGCAGATGTGAAGGAGGTCTGCTCATGGCCTCCTGGAGGAGAAAAAGGGGAACCTTTGTAAGCGATGAGAAACCAGCTTTCTAGCCTTGATTCCGTCCTAGTCCAACCCAGCTCATTTAGCCGCCGAAAGACGCAGACAAATCAACATGAGTGGCACATTCATTGTTTCCCACTGGTTGGAGAATCAGGGGACCGTGGGCACTAATCACACACCATCAGGCCCCTCAATAATGCGTACTGTTTTAGTGACCTCTCCCTTTTTCTCACGCCCATCTGTGGGAAAGACGAAAGATTTCAATGAGCGATTTTCAGAACTCCAAGCGCCAGTTTTCTGTCACACCTAGCGGTTTTCCCTTACTCAATGCGACAAATTCTAGGTCCATGTATGCATCCGGCTCAATAATGTGATATCAAGTTTCATAATTTTCTAAAGCCTCAGTAATCTCCAACCAATCGCTCAGATAAGTTTACTAAAAATGGTTGTCTAAATGCGGAGGCGATGAATTAAGTAATATGTTGCTTAGCAGCCCGACCAACAAGCTGATGAAATAAAACATGACAAAACTCTCAAATAATCCATTGGATAATAATCAAGAAGTTCCCTTAAATATTTATACGACCTCACTTTTGGAGAAGAGGGTCTAATGAAACAAGGCTACAACGGAAAGAATTCGAAAAGATTTTGATGGATTTAAAATGTACAGCCGACAGTCGATGTTTCCTTTAAAATTGCTGATTGAAATTGCCAAACATTATGACTTTCCTTGCCACAACCAGATAAGCCTAAGTTGGTGTGCCCCATTAAATATTAGAGTAATGTCAACTATCGCAACCCTGGTGCGGACTCAGATAAAGAAATCCAGGTGCTTGATCTATGTGGCACTCATCCTCTGTTTTGCGAAAACGACTTTTATTGACAGTGTAGAAGCTGAGAAGTCTGGAAGCATAGAGTTTTCTAACACTACCGTTGAAGTAACCAACACAGCAGTCCTACTGCTGGAAGAATTCTGAGTTCACTTAGGAATGTGAAACCAAAAGACATCACAGTCGACACCTGTGGGTATGTAACACAAGTATAAATTCGCCTAACGAAAATGTGCGGTTCGTTAAAGAACTGATCGTCGTCACGATAACACCACTGAGCAAATTCTTCTCCAAGCACACAAGGCCAACTTATTCTACATAGTTATTCCTTCTCACCAAACTTCTGGGTCCTAGCTTTAAAGTGGCAAGCCAATTATTGAGAGTTCGACGAACCCAATACCGGTGTTTAGTAAGCGAAGTAGATATGGAGCACTGCCCGAACACTTCCTGAGCACTCGGACTGACCAGGCAATTGACATTATAAGTTCATGGTCACAACTCACACGTCGCTCATGTATTGACCTACAGCATCTTTAGTTCGTTAAAGAAACGCAAACTCCAGATGCACCATACACCGACTAGATATAGCTTCGCCACTCGAGTACAAAACTCGACATCAAGTAAAGTGGATGAAGTGAAATAATGCCAAACCTCTCAAAGCCATGTTCTTCTAACAGTCATCGTCAATATGGCTCAAATAACAGCTCTGCTTGTTACAATTAGGACCATTCAGAGATCCTAGTTTAAATAAAAGTCCACGGATTCTAAGCAACTTTACCAGCATTAATTTTCCCGAAAAATCGTAGAAATTATATTTAAATCATGCATGGATAAATAGCACAATCTTGGCTTATCGCAACAGAGCAATTGAGACGCATTAAAGAAGGCCAACACTTAAAACCTTACCTAAGTAACCCTAAGTGTCTAAACGGATTATTTCATTGGGTCCTACGTCAAACTCTTCATGTGTGAATTGAGGACAATGACATTAACGCACCAGAGGCAGCCATGTTACCAATGTCATCGTCATCATCCCTCTCAGAGAATGAGCCAGAACACGAGGTTCTAGCAGAAGGGAGTGAGGAGAGGGGAAGAGTGGTACCGGCCTTAAGAGCGGCCTCTCGAATCTCGTCACGAGATGAGTAGAGCCTACCGGTGCGCGGTTTTTTCTCCGTCGCTGCAGCATCCCATGGAACGCTACACGTAACACCCACTAGCAATGAATGGTGCAATTCCCGCTGCCATTGCTGCCCTCGGCCAACACCACCACCACCACCACTACACTCTGAAGCAGCACGGACGCAGGACGCTGTCGCTCGAACACCTAGAGGGGGCGAACAAAAAAATTAGAGCGCATGATCGAAATAACAGACTATTGACAAAACGATTCTGCTGACGGACGTAACTGATACATGAGCATTTAACGTTGGAGTAGGCAGTCAAATAAAAACCAGTTAGCAAAAGCACTCGAAAAAAGGAAAGATCGGGATACCAGCCTGTCATGGGTAAGAAAAATATAAAGTGCCTTTATATATATGCACCGTCAAAGGCTCGAAAACAATACAACCGCAAAACATGGTGTAAAATTCCAAACGTTTTTCGTTCTCAGAGACGGTTTGTACCAGAAATATTAAAAATGGGGCCGTTGAGTTGATTACGGATAAGTGATAAGATAATAATCTTGGTAGCGCATAAGGGAGATAAGGAAAGTTAGTAGAGCTAAAGTAGTATTTACGTGCTGAGGAAAATTAGTTTACTGGGGAGGTCGGGCGGAAAAGTTGTATTGATAATTAAAATAAGGAATTTGTTGTTTTCGATCAGATCGTATTTTCTTTTTGAATGAAAAGGAAAACCCAAAAAATGCAGTGAATTATGTGCTTCCGAGGCGCCAAAAATATTACTATCCAATTATCGTCTCAAAATTGCAGCGGCCAACTATGAATGTTAACAAATGCATTTTATCAAGGCAACGTTGCAAATGAAATCCTTAATTTTGAACGTAAGCCTACGGATAAGTGAAGCTGATTAGCAAACGATGAGTCACCGATCGGAGTAGCACTTACTTGATGCATAAAGAATAAATAATTAGGAAGAGGAAGTATTTAAAGCACTCTTCGGGACAACGAAGTATTAACGTGGTGATAAAAGGAATGGAACCACCTTCTACCTTGGAATGATCTAATAATGGTTAGGAGTAACATCAAGCACATGTAAAACGCCTTTGAATCGCCCCAAACGATAAGCAGTAAGTAAATCGGATCGGGGATTCCCCACTCAGCAAGTGCTACGCAACACCTAGGACTTTTATAAACAAGGGATTTCATTCGAATGTTCAAAACATCCTTCAAGTACAACGAAACGACGAGCTGAAGACGCACAAACCTCGCCGCTACCAGCAGTTGACAATAAGGAACTGGATAATATGTACCGTGCAAAGATAAGGTAAAGGAAAGTCGCAGCAGCCGAATAGTTTGCTCAACGCGTTCGGTTAAAAAACTCAAATACTGCAACACCGAAGGTCGTAAAGTTACTAATAGGGCTTTATTGAGTGGATTTAGTCAATAGAGGACCAATTCTTTACCTTACATTGAAAAGACTGGGTTAGAATTTTCAGTGCATCCGAAAGAATCTCGTCAAAATGTTAGAAGACATTGGGCAAAGCAATTGATAGAGCATGAAAACCAATTGCTGAGGTGAGCATTCCATGTAGCTGAGTTTTACTACAAGTCGAGCACACAAGTGCAAATGGGAACACTTTTATTTATGAACTGGAAAGAGATTAAGCATAACCAGACTTGTGAAAAATAATCAAACAAGCCACCTGTTACACCTATGACAGTGGGAAATGAAAAGTAAGAAATAGGGGAGAAGGGATTTGCAAAACAGAAGCTTATCAGTACCAACAAAACTGTCTTCATGTTCGCCGATGACATAAGAGTTGAAGGAAAGTAGGGTTCCATTCTATCTTAGAAAAATGACTGAAGCAACAGGAAAGCACAAACAGCGTAATGGGTATCAAGTCCCGAATCTAATCATGGACAAGAAAAGTGGAAATTTCATTTCACATAACCTAGCTTACTTGCGTTCAGAAGTGAATGACAAAAAGACTTTTTGGACCAGCTGACCTAACGTACCAAAGTTCATATAATCACGGGAATAAACAAAGGTGAGATCAAGAATTGACCTTGAGATGAGAATGGGGCGGAGAGTAGACAGGGGGGATGGCTAAGGGAGGTGGTCCAGCTACTTGCCAGTCGCGAGCGCGTGGGTCGATGAGGTGCCGCTGATGTGGAGTTTGAGGAAGGCGACGATAACGGCGCTGGGGACGCTGAGGTGGCACTGCCTCCATTATCGCTGACGGTAGTAGTGGTGATGGCAGCACTGTATTCCTCAACCCTTGCCTCAACATCCACTCTAGTCCCTGACTCATCGGTTGTGGATTTGGGGAGATAGTCCAATGGCAAAGGAGACAGAGCGACCATAGTAGGAATCTGGCAGTCGTTTCTAAAAAAATACGGGGAAGCACAACAAAAGATAGTGGTATAATCTTATGCTACCTTTGGCGCTAATTGAAACCTATGAGTGCCAACAACGCAGGATGTTGTGCGAAAGGAAAAAGTCATCGAAAAAGAGAAAGGATTGATTGTTATTGGTGAAATAGAATGGATACTAAGACAACTATGGTAGAATGAAGCGATTTTTCTCATTTCAAATCAAATTTGCGTGAGCAACTTGCGTTGATAGGCGGAGAATTTATATGGATGTCTAGATGCTATTATCTGAAAAAAAAATATGGCAGGAGTGGAATATCATATCCATTCCCAAGTAATCTCTGGTGTGCTACAAGGGCGGAGGAAGCACAAACAAGCACATAAAGCTACATTACGATAGCTTGAGGGATGGATCTTAACTGGTAAATACAAACATCCTACTTCATTGTGAGTTTTGGTAAAAAAGAGACTAAATTTTATGCTTGAAAATGGAGGGAACCTTCTCACCCAAGACTGGGGATGTGTGGCTATGGGCACGGCGACATCGACTCTACATTTTAGGTTTTCGTGTAAGTTGGAATCCTCATTTATGTGGGAATCCAAATGGCCACTTTGGGAAATGTATGAACCAAAAAGTGCACAAGACGGCCCATCTAGAGGGGGCGATTGCGGCCGGGTATTTTATCATATCACGAGGTTCGCAGACTGAGAGCTGATGGAAGGCAGGAGTTGGACCTCACCGCCTCAAAGTTCTAATTTGGAAGCTTACAGGAAGGAAGCACATCAGATCGGAGTACAAACTCAGGCACCAAGCGGGGAAATAGGGTACACAGCCAGCAGGCCAGTCATCGTCGCCCACCCACCACATGAGGATCGATGAGCAGAGTCGAGGCGGGGCCTTAGAGTGCGCGCTGAGAGTGCAAGTGCACCGTTCAAACAGGTGCGCCTCAAACTGACGTACACAGAACAAGTGGACTACACCAACAAATCAAAAAATCAAGATGCACTTTACCTAATAAAACGAACTTTTCTTCAATATGTGATTGCCAAAATGGCCACCCACAAGTACTACATATTTGAGGCATTTAATTCTTGTCAGTAGCCCTTTCACATTCACGTATCACCTACCAGCAAGAGGTAGTAGGAGGTATGGACCAGAATTCGATCGTTTCAAACAGTTGCTCTGGCTTCTCTCTGTGAGCGGGTAAGGAGGAAAACTGTACTGCCATACAGTAGGTAAAGATTGATAGTAGTCAAAGTTTTAACTTATCGTAGAAGCAAATTCACAACTTGTTGAGTCTTATCGGTATCAGCCTGTTAAGTTCCCAAAGTCTAAGAACCAAGTCTTGGGCCGGTGGTAAAGCACGTCAAGTTTGGAATTGGTAGTAGGAAAAATGGCATGAATCTCGTCGGTCAAAGGCCATTTAACGCCTAAAATCAAAGTAAGACTTCAGTTCGAGATTCAGAAATATCCCCAATGAAGGACCTAGTAACACATGCAGCATGTCGTCAAAATATTTTGCATTCTTTTGAAACATCTTGGTTACACCAACAAGACCCTAAAGTAAGTTCGGTGATCCTGTGCGAGATTTGAAACGCGGAGCAGAGCTAAGAAGCGGGAAAAAATAACAGCAAAACTAATCACAAAAGTACTAAATTTAGTAATTTGGGGGCAGATAAAAAACCTATGTTGTAGAAAAAGAGGGTTTAATATTATGACAATGCAAATTTTCTTCGGGGCAGTTACCGAGTGGAACAGACAACCTCAATTGTCTTACAAATGCGTAGATCAAGGCTAGGTTGGAGCAAAGCTTAAAGGGACGCCAGAAAATGCTTCATGTCCTCTTAAACGGAGTAAAAAAAACCGTGTTCGAAATCAAAATCACTCTGCACCACTGCATCAACCAAAGTTCACCCAAATCAGTTCTACAGACTCAAACAGCGCCAGGAAGAAACGCTCCCCTTGGGATTACCAATTCCAGACACGTCAAGATCAAACACTATATTAACGTCACAACATCCGCTCTGGTCTATTTCTCCCTGTTTTAAGTCAGCATTAGGAAGCGAAGTTTTGACTACAAAGAAAGTAAATTGCGCAACCTACACACGAGTGACGACCCTCGAGTACTATTATGAACGATCTGAATGATCCTCCCAGAAAACAGTTTCAGATCAAGAAACAGTCCAGACGACTGTGAGTAGCGCATCAGTCAGGGTGTAGAGCTCAGTCAGTTGAATGGGAGCGGCACCTGCCCATTTCGAAATTTAAATAGCCCCAACTTTTGAATTGAAACAAAAGTACTGATATCTGAAGTTCTTTTCGTTTCCATTAAAGCAAACAAGTAGCAAAAGAACAAGAGTTCGCAGTCCAAACCCCAAAACCTTGGCATACAGTGGAACTTCCCATCAGGATGGTCAAGGAATTAAACTATCATTTAGATCGCCATCTCGGCAATGTCGTTTTACAGCCATGCCCGCAGCCTCACTGGAGACCTTCTACTCGTCAGTCAAATGTTCTACGCCGATCTACTGCAGTTTCAGGGTGAAATCAAAACAACCATAGTAAAGTAACATTCAAACTATGCTAGCATAATTGCCATCGAGAAGCCGACTGACAGTCATGATGTCTTTGTCAGACAATTATCCTCACTGTCTCGATATCAAATGACGATCCCTATTTTCGTTGTGATGACTACGAACGTCATTTAACACATTTTTAACTCTACGAGGCAGCATCGATTCGCAAGTAACTCACGAGCGGAGAAAGCTGAAATAAGTAGTACTACCTGGGATGAAATTATTTCCAGACAATACCGCTCTCAATAATGGTTCTCAGGTTTTCCTTTTCAGCTCAACTAAATAGTCTCCAAGTCGAGTTAAACTTCCGTCTGAAATTTTCCAACCACTAGCCTCGAGTTTTCCTTTTCATGAAATAGAGGTGAATACGTAACCAATGAACGAACTGACGGACAGGCAACCGTTAAGTATTTGGAGGAAATCGGCTCGTGAGGTAGTCATTTCAATGCTCTCGTCGATCTAAAAATTAATGGGCAACCAACAGACCAGGCGACCACAGTTATAGGCCTCGTTAAGCACCTGTACATCGGCTACAAAGTAGCCCTCCTCAAGTACGGGCATGCGTTCAACGAGCCGCGTAAATTTATGCGGCAAAACAATGGACAATATAATTTTTGGAGTTAAGGCGAGGTTGTACGTGGATTGTTGTTTTTGATCTAAACATCTATACCACATAAGACGAGCGAGCTAAATTACCCAATGAAGTGTTCACAAAGTAGTTAGTGGACGCCAACAAGGTCCAAATAACTTTTTGTTAACTTGCCCCCTTTCTGGTCCACTCTTTTTAGCATCCCAAAGGGATATGCGCGTGTGGTGTTTTAAGGTGGGTGCCGCGCTGACTCAGAACCATTGTGATCAAGAGGAAAGCAAGGGACGAGAATGTATGACCGATCACCCATTCGTGTGATCGATGCGTTCACGTACCCATCGCTCTTGTTCGTGTAGGCTCGGAAGATGGAGCTTTCCGCCAAGCAACGGCGATGATAATTGTGGTTACCTTGGTCTGTAGACACCTACAATGTTAACAAAATACAGTGGAATGCAAAAAGGCGGTGACAATAGCGACTTACATTAGAATAACTACGACGAAGTACGTAGCTATTTTGCTGTTGGTCCCTATGAGGTTGTCCTGTTGACAGGACTGGCCGGCCGATGGGATGACTCAGGAAGCGTATGCGAGTGCGGCCGGAATCCCTGGCACGAGAGAGTGGGTTAGACATTAATGTTGTCTGGGCGCCAAACATTAGTCTGGCGATGAAAGGAACGGCGACTAAATGTCTTAAGCTAACAAGCATTGTAGCTAACCAAGCAGACAATCCAGTCATCAACTAGGCTGCGACAAAATATTTGCGGACAAAGACAGTGACTACTTCAAACATTGTCACGAACAAAGATCAAATGTCGCACTTATCGTTGAAATGAAGAATTGACTGCAAAAGTCATTAACAGTGGATGTCTCTGATGCAGAAATGAACACAAAACCCCTCTAAAACTGATAGTAATATTTTCGTAGAGGTAGAACTCCCGTAAATGATTCTACAAAAATCTGAAGCCTGCTTCAAATACAAACTAGTGAAAATGGATGAAAGTGGTTAAGGCGGAAAACACCGAGTCGGTTCACTCCATTACTTGTAAGAAGAAAGATTGTGTAAAAGGATGAATTCACATCAGGAATGCTGGGACTTACTTTATGCGACCACATGAACAACTGGCGGTTACTTTGGCTGGCCTACAGGTCAGTCAAAACTAATGCCTTTTACCCAGTGGGAAGTCCCGGGGCGCTATAGGTAACGAGGTTACTCTATGTAATCGGACATAAGAAGGGACGTGGAGCCATAAACCAACAGAATGAGGCCAGAAAAACGAAGGTCTTGACTTCTAAAACCTTTACATTCATTAGAGTGTTAACTTCAATTAATTCAAACCAGCATCGGACAAATTTTTGTCGGTAAACTCAACCAACGAAGGCGACTAAGTTAGATGTACGTTTCGGAAAGAATTTTTGCTACTGGGAAGTCCACTATCTGGAATAAATTTATGTGAGATAAACAAAAGCAGTAATACTTGCCTTTGAAAAAGGACCCAAATACATGAATTCTAGGAGTTCCCACAAGAGGATTACTGTGTGAACTTTGCTTTTACGGCATTTCAGTTCAGAACATTTTGTGCTACACCAATGACTTCATTATCAAATGAACGGAAAATACGCAGTCTTTGGTTGACCTTGACAGATCACTGGCGTCAATAAAAAAGCTCTTCAGACAGTCATTGGCCTTAGTATAACGTCTGTGATTAGTTCGGAAACCCAGAGCATCTTGATTTGGGAAGTAGGCAGGAGAAGTTACTTACAAGACCATGCGGTACGCATAACAGAAGATCCATTGCTTTACCTATGCTCACGGAACTTAGTACCTTGAAGGTCCATCTCTTTCAAGGAATTCTGTTGATCTCTGATGTGACAACACACACGAGTTTAAGAACTGTGTCTTAATTTAAGGGTTAACTAAAATTAATTCAGCGCATGAAACCTTCCTATTTGTATGGAGGAAGTGAATTCAAAAATTCTCACTCGGGTAAAAAAATTAGCAAAGAACGTATTCATATGGAGACAAGTGTACTACAACTTATGAAAGTTACTATGGTCTCATAAAAACCCTCTACAGAGGCTGAGTTCCTCAAAGTTGGACTGGTAACTAAAAGCTATACCGTAGTAGTTAAGAGAGTCCGCGCTTTCACCCTAGAGATTGCACTTCAAGTGATTTCTTGGAAGAAATCGAAGACTAAAGTACGGATATGACATTTGTCAGCTACATGACGATAATTATGAAGGCAGGAAAATACGTCGCAGAGTTAAATAGAGTTGACGTAGATCCACATGATCAGACATTATCGGTAAAAGAATAGGGCAGATAAGGCCAATTCACTACGGCTCCATGCTTCATGCGTTCAAGTTCGAAAATCTTTTAGTAACTGACGATTTTAAAACATTGATGGGTAATACTTTGACCATCACCAATCTGAAGTGAGGAAAGGAGCACTACGAAACAAAACGATAGGTCTTATGAAAGTGGAACGCTTTAAAATGCTGTGTGACGTTATGCAACCGAGCGCCGGTAAGACAAACACGCACGTGAGCACACAATCACAGAGAAGGTAGAGGGCGAGGTGAATGGAACGCGTCCGGGAACCAGCACGTGTGATCTGAATGCAAGACGGGACCAAACGGTAGACCAAGAAAGGAGCTCGCAACTTGGCTAGCAAACGAGAAGTTGCGCGGTCGCCCATGCTTCGCAGACGCGCTGTTGGACGGACATGTGTGTTTGTGGTACAAAGCTGAGGGAATGAATGCTCGCATTGACCAAGAACGAGGCCATGTGCAGCCTCTGAATGACACCGTTGGGCAGCGGCAACACCGGCCGCCCAGCCGACCGGATTTCCCAATCTGGTTTGGCAGCTACGTATCCCCCAACGCCTTCAACCCAGTAGGTGTGCTAGCACAGGCCAAGATAAGTTAGCCAACTTGTCTGGCTTAATCGATAAAGTCGTAGTGAGATGAGTACACTGATTCACAACAGTTTTCACATCCTTTTCTTCTTTGGCGCAGATTTTTCCGCAACAAATTTTAAGACCGCCAGATCTAAGGAGTCACAATGTATATTATACAGTATGCTATTTGAGCAGTGAGTAAAGACACAAAACTACAGGAATCGACGAATGGTAAGCAAGAAAGTTCAAGAAAAAATAGACTCACGCAATGATGTCGTCGGTAGTGAGAAAGCAAATAAAACAGATGTAATATTCGTGGAAATCACAGGCTACAATCAGCCCAATTCATAGCCGTCACTTCCAATCAAGGAGTGATTTTAGCATGAATTCAACGGCAAGCTAAGTGTTGAAGGCAAAGTTTCAGCATACAATCGAAGAAAAAGTGCACCTCAGCGTAATCAGGAAATGAAAGGCTGCAAACCATGCTTGCGTATTTAGTAGCGAATTAAGAGAACTAAAGGTTCCATTGTATTAATAAGACTGGAAGAGTCATCACCAACAGCATTAGCAACTCAGATGTGATCAAGTAGCATAAAAAATCCAGGCATCGTTAAATCAACGGAGACAAGGCTCCTTAGGTATTCGCGAGGAATTGACTTTCCGCCAAAGGACAAAATCATTGTGCACGAAACCGTGAATTCTCACCTTTCACAAAACTGATGAGCGCAGACAGATGCTGGGGAACCGTTCAGGTCGTGTTGCGAACACCTTGACGTCTGCTGTGAACAATTCTTCTGTGCCTAGAGGTGAACAAGTGGAAACATCACAAAGCTTTCGATTGCGGTGCAAGTGCCAAACTAAAAAAAGACATCAGTGTCTTATCTTCATCTTCTGATGCCAACTCTGCAGATAAAATTAAAGCGGAGCAACCAAGGTGGCTTTAAAAAACCCGAGGGCACCCCCAACATATTAGCTCTATTGGCACACGTATGCTTGTGCGTCATTTGCAAAGCAGTTTGGAATAACGCCTGAAAGATTGGAAATGTGTTTACAATGCCTCACTTATAAGACTGCACCTTACCGCTGCTGTCAAAGTGCTTAAAAATTTATATGACAACACTTTATACCTTAGAGGTATCCCTCAGATGGGCGTCGAAAACCTTTTGCTCAAGAGCTTTATCGAAGGGCATGAGAAGTAGCGCCTGGTTCTCACCCAGCTGAGAAGCTACGGAAGACAGCCAGCGGCGCTCGTACAAATAGGAGGCGGGTCGTGTGACACGCTGAATCCAAGCGCTCAATTCGGTCGCCTTGTCGCAGGTAAAGATATAGCGACCCGCCGTCTCCATTAGGTAAAAAACCTTGTTTCCCAAATCTCCAGAGGTAACAGAAACACGACCAGTGCCGTAAACACTGATCTCACCCTTAGTGAAGCTCCAAGAGGCAATAAGAGCGGGTTTGCGACCCTGAGAAATTGTGACAAAGAGTAGTCGATCCATAGTGACGTGAAGAAAACTGTTGCTTTTCAAACCGTGGTGATGATTGTGGTGCATTACGCGCGAAAGAAGACCGGAAATATAATTATGGTAGCTAGACGAGGCGGTAGTGGACATTGAGGCGAGGGAACGGACCTGTCCAGATTCTGTAGACTCCCGAACATTAAGTGCCGAAGCTTCCAAAGCTTTTGAAAAAGCCGCAGGTAAGGAAACATTGAAATGTAGACGGCTGGACCTGGGAGCTGAGCAAAGACTTGCAAAGTACCTAGTGCCTAAGGACAGATTTGAGATAGTTACATTTAAGAGTCGTTAAAGTTATACTTGAGTTACTGTAGTATAACTCCGCTTCACTAAAAGTACAAAGAGAAGGCGGATTTTTAAATAAATGTTCACACAAGGTTCGGCGAAAAAATAATATTAAAGTACGAGGACCACAAAGTGACGGCAAATCCCACAGTAGTAAATTCTTGCAACGATAGAATTGGAAAGAAAACCCGGAATAGAAATAAGAAGTCGACCTACAAACAAGATTGTCCTGTAAAGTATCGCCCCAAAGGCGGAGATCATCGAAGACCTCGAAGGTCATACAATACACACGATGTGTGCAGATGAGCAATATTGAGGGTCGTGAGAAAATGTGCACACCTATATCAAATGAGTGCACATACTCAGGATCAGCGGTCCTTGTAGGCTCCGATTTGCTGACGAATAATTTCAACGTATCTAGATTATTAACGATCAATGAACAGGAATGTACTTGAAAACGTGGAAGACTTTACCAAAGAACAATGCCGCTTTCTCCACTAAAGAACCCCTATGATCATAGATTGAAAAACTACCCTCTTTCTGAGTCGAAAAAATGGAGATCCCTGAAGTAAAACGCCTGAACTCCGCTCGAACATACGCGGCGAAGCAGTGGCGCTAATCAAGACGACCAATCAAAAGGTGCGCGGACTTAGTCTTTAACGATATATCGTGCTAACCTGGCCATTAGTAGGAGCGTATGATTTAGGTAATGAAACAAAGGAAATGTATTAGTGAAGTTATAAAAAACTTACTGAGTTATACTTTTGCCATTGTGTGGCGACGCATAAATGCACTTATGGTCCCGTCAACAAGTGATTATCTTTAAACCTATTTCCAAACATTATGTCCTCACTTGAAGGACTATATTTTGCGCGGATTCTAAGGTTATTGCACACTATTTTACAGGGGTCAAAGTATTCACTTTACCGTCCTGAGACCTCCTGGCCAGTATAAGAAGTCAGTAAGTGCATTTGGATACATGTATTCTGAAGACGACAGGACAAATGGGCCTAGGCATTACCCGAAGGCCAGCTTACGTATACAAGGGCGAGACAAATCCTAAAGTGACCGCCAAACGTCAGACAGTCACACAACCAAAGTATTACACTGCTTCTCTCTTCTTTCGAGCAACAACCTCGGCGCTCTCCTTGGTA